TTAATGTCCTCACATTATAAAAAAGGAATATTCCAAAGTGGCCCCGAATTGGAATGATGACAGGGTAGGAAAATAAAAAATTCAATTAATCAGTAAGTTAGGAAATGAAAAAATATTAGACACGTATGTTATTATTTTGTCGTATAATAAAACAATACTTAGATAAAACGAATCAAAGTTCAGGAGTGGGGCTAAAACGTCATTTCTAAAAATGTACATAGAAGTGACGTCACGAGACATTTCAAATCAATATATCGTCGAAAGTATTCGTTTCTGTAAGAAAATCATTTAAAAGGCTAGGCTGTAGGCTAAGACAGCCCTGCCTACACCTCTATATTCAAACTTCGGCCCTGCTACATCGACCAGCCAATCAATTAAAATACACTTCTATTTTAAGTACCACACAACAGAACTGTCATTGGTCCATTAATATTCAATTGATCGCGTAGTTATTGTGGAGACAATCGATACTTCGATATTTATGATAGGAAATGTTGTACCACGCCTTTCAATCGTGAAGGGATCGACAAAAAATAAAAACTGCGTTTAAAAACCCGATTTATAACAAACAACATAACATAACATCACGCCTATTATCCCCGAAGGGGTAGGCGGAAGTGCACGTTATGCCACTGCACAATGTAACACCCACTTTTCACTATTTATGTTTTGAGTCCCATGTAATAGCTTATTATTATTGCCATTTACCGGGCATAATTCCGGATTCCGTGCTACTACTGAGAATGTTTTTAAACCCCGTAATACTTTGCCCTATCCGGGAATCAAATCCGAGACCCCTAGTCGCACTTGCGACCACTCGGCTGACGAGGCAGTCGCATTACTTACCCATACAATTTTCGAAAGTTCCCCTCGGTTTCCCTAGGATTCTATCATCAGATCCTGACGTCATGAAAATAGGATTCGGAATTTGAGCATTGTTGGGGATTCAGGGATTGGGAAGATTGAGGAGGGGGGATAATTCGGCCTCCGGTATCCTCACTTACACGATGAAACACAACGCAAGTGTTGTTTCACGTCGGTTTTCCATGAGGCCGTGGTATCACTCCGGTCGACTCAGCTCATCTAATGCGCAAAAACACGATAGATCCCATTCAACGAGTAACAACATCATCATCAACAGCCTATAAGTGGCCACTGCTGACCAAAAGCCTCTTCTCACACAGAGAAGGTTTGAGCATTAACCACCACGCTTGCTCAATGCGGGTTGGCAATTTCAAACTTATAATCAAAAATAAGTCCAGGTTTTCTCACGATGTTTTCCTTCACCGTTTGTCAGTGGTGTCTAAATAATCTTAGAAAGTATATATAACTCGGAAAACGTCACATTGATAGTCGCTGTTGGTAGGTTTCGAACCCGCACATTCATGCATGAGAAGCGGGTGTCTTAACCTCCGGGCCAACACAACAGAAACGATTTTTCTTTTAAGAGAGCTCGGTTTTTGAAATAGACTTTTTTTAAAGGTGGAAAATCATCGAATGCCTTCTCCCGTCTGGGTGAGACGGGAGGCAGTGTCAGACTGTTACTGACTGAAAACCACCCCGTTCCTTCTCCTGCACTTCGAGCCGGAGCCCCAGTAACCCGCTAAGACTTCCGCGGCATCTTTGAAATATGATTGACAGTCATCTAGACACATTAGCCAACCTAGCTTTAATAAAATTTACGATATTTACCCTGCATAGTACGTCAACCGGCGATAACTAGATCTTACAGTGTAGATAACTGGGTATCAACTAGAATTATATTTCGCTCTTAGGAGTATTATTTTATTTGCTGTGTGTAGATAATTTTATAGAGGTTCTGTATGTTAAAATTTATAAAAATCAATGACGTCCGAGCTTAAAAAAAAATGTAATGTAAACGCAACGCTCCCGAATTTTAATCGCTTTTCAACCGATTTCAAAAAACAGGAGGATGGCATTGGCAGCCCCTAACGAATAGCTAGGGCGAGGAAAGTGAAATGAACTCACACTACAGTCCATTTTAAGGATCAATATAGGTACCCCCTCCGCTCATTAGACCTCATGTGAGAAAGAAAAAAACAAAAAAAAGAAAAAACATTTATTCCGCACCAGGCATGATGCAGCACAAATAAAATATAAAAAAGACAATCAAGATGTGACAGTGGAAGTAATAAAAACATTGAGTTGAAAAATTAAAACAGAAGAATTAGAAGAGAGACGCTGACAACATGCCTATGCTAAAAGGGTCACCCACTCATGTGTTTAAACTGTCAAACACCAAACGGTCACCGGTGACCGCGACCTATTGTTCTTTAATTGTGTCTATAAAACCGGTACTCGACGAGTTAATGGATGTCCCCTTAGCCCAGAGAATCCAATCCAAAAACCCCATTCTATCACACTAATTTCCAAAGGGAACCCTACAAAATACTTCAGAACACCCGCTACCAAAATTTAAACAAAGTAAATAAAACTATTAAATGCTAATTAAATAATAAGACTCACGTATCAGTGCCTAAATCCATTAATAGATAATGAACGAACAATTTTTCAAATAAAAACCTACATTGTAATGAAATAATTCGTCAGTTGTATTTCAATCGTTGTAGGAGATACACGTATTTTAAACAACTTATTAGTTCAATCAACTGTATAGTGGTTATATAGAAAAGAATTTAAAAGGAGTAAGTGATTTTTTTCTTTCATATTTATATTACACTTGTTTACACGATGTTAATACATTCTCAAACAATATTTTTTTTCACTTAGAAATATGCGTAGTGGAGTAGTAGGCCTAAATAATCTTTAAAGAAACAGTACATGGTTATCATATGTTATAATAGTATTTAAAATTATTGGCTATTTTTACATTATATTTGCTTAAACTACATAACATCATAGCATCACGCCTTTTTATCCCCGAAGGGGTAGGCAGAGGTGCACATTTCGGCACTTAATGCCACTGTACAACGTAACACCCACTTTTCACTATTTATGTTATGAGTCCCATGTAATAGGGGGTGAGCCTATTGCCATATATACCGGGCACATTTTTCCAGACTCCGTGCTACTACTGAGATTTTTAAAAACCCAGTAATACTTTGCCCGACCCGGGAATCGAACCCGAGACCCCTTGCCCGGCAGTCGCACTTGCGACCACTCGGCCAATGAGGCAGTCTTATGCTTAAACTATTTTTAAAAAAATGTACGTATATTGCATACAACAAGATTAAGTGATGAACGTTGCATTGCATTACACTTGATATATTAAACACACATGTGATGTTGTTGTGGCTCAGAGGTTTAAACTGTCAAACACCGCGAGGACACCGGTGACCGCAACCTATTGTTCTTTAACTCGTCGAGTACCGTCATTATAGACACAATTAAAGAACAATAGGTTGCGGTCACCGGTGACCGCTTGGTGTTTGACAGTTTAATTGTGTCTATAATGACGGTGCTCAAAGGGTTAAGACGCCCTCTTCTCTTGCATGGTTTAAAACCTACCAACGGCAAGTACCAATGTGACTTTTTCCGAGTTATATGTACTTTCTAAGATTATCTAGATACCACTAACAAACGGTGAAGAAAAACATCGTGAGGAAACCTGGGCTTATAATTTCTGATTATAAGTTTGAAAACGCCAACCCGCATTGAGCAAGCGTGGTGATTAATGCATTTATAGGTTTATAGGTTGTTGATGATGAAATGAAACACACATACACGCACACTAAAACATCTATTATCCACCAATAGGGATGATGACAGGGTATGAAAATTAAAAATCAAATTAGTCCGTCAGTTAGGTAATGAAAAAATATTAGACAAGTATTTTTTTATTTTGTTGTATAATAAAATGATATTTAGATATAACTTTTTATTTATTTATTTATTTATTACAGTCACAACGGTTGAAAACAAAAACTAATTAAAGTAACGAATTCGTTTCTGTAAAAAAATAAAAAATATGTGTGTAATTTTATACTATTATACCTATAAAGCGGAAGAGTTTGTTTTTTGTTTGAACGCGCTAATCTCCGTTATTACAAGTCTGATTTGAATAATTCTTTTGTGTTGGATAGCGCATTTATCGAGAATAGCTATAGGCTATAAAACATTACGCTACGACCAATAGGAGCTGAGGAGAGCGTGTGAAACCTCGCGGAAGTAGCTAGTGTTTTATAAGAATCTACCAGACGAACATTAAAATAAAAATTAATCATCTACCCTATTATGTTACTATTACCATACACCGGGCACAATTTCATATCGTACCATCAAGATATTTAAAAAAAAATCCCAAAAACGCCTCGCCAGACCGGAAGACAATGAAACATGTTTTTTTTTAAAAAAAAACGTTGTCCCTCATTATTATTTTCTCCTGTGTCGTGGGTGCGTTTACAAACATACAAGTTCACATACACATGACACACAGACCCGAAACAACAATTTGTGGATCACACAAAGTGTTGTTCCGTGGCGGGAATCGTAGCCGTTTGCCCAGCCACCGCACCAACCGTGCAGTCAAAATATGATAAATTCTTAATTAATTTTTGACGTGACAACGACTTATAATTGGTTTGCCGGGTGACACTTCAAGAAACTGCGTTACGCTCCGCTCACGTTATGCGCTCACAATGAGAGCGAGTGAGAGGCACGCGTCCCTTCCACTCGGGCATGGTTAGCCCGCCTAAGAGCGAGAGAGACAGACATAAAAAGTGAAAGGCACGCGTCCCTTCCACTCGAGCACAGTTAGCCCGCCTAAGACCGAGAGAGACAGAGCGAGAGAGAGAGAGTGAGAGAGATATTTCATCCTTCTTCCTACTATACGAATGAATATTCACATTAAAATTATTTTACCACTCAAAGTCGTTGTCACGTAAAACTTTCGCCCGTATACCGACTTTACAGGCAATCAATTTTTTTTTCTCCGCAGCCCAGCGCTCTGAAGTCTACGTCTAAGTACCCAGAAATCACGTCGATAAAAGTGTCTTACAAGGCAAAAACGTTGTTCGAGAATGGAATCACATGAGAAGAACGTGTTCACAGTGGGGCAAGACCTCAGCCCCACGACCACTGACATCGTTGAAATGAAACCAGCAGGTTAGTCAATCGCCGGAACTGCGGATATCTTTTTTTTTATTTATTTACTCTTCTTGTAGGTATACAATGGCGGACTTAATGCCTATTGGCTTCTCATTCTCTAACAGTCAACCTTTTTTTTTTAAACTGTCAAACACCAAGCGGTCACCGGTAACCGCAACCTATTGTTCTTTAAATGTGTCTATAATGACGGTACTCAACGAGTTAAGGGGGAAAATCATCGAATGACTGCTCCCGCCTGGGTGAGGAGGAAGGGAGTGTCAGACTCTTACTGACTAAAAACCACCCCGTTCTTTCTCCTGCACGTCGAGCCGGAGCCCCGGTTACCCGTTAGGTTCTCCTCGACAACAGTCAACCTTAGGGTGATGCAGAGAAACACAATAGTAGGATTACCTGACGGTCTACCATCCAGTACAGAGCAGGAATAGGAACAAGGTGGTTTTTTTAGTCAGTATGAGTCTGACGCTCCCGCTTGCATCACCTAAGATGAGAGAAGTCATTGAATGATTTAACATAACATAACATCACGCCTTTTATCCCCGATGGGGTAGGCAGAGGTACACATTATGCCACTGTACAATGTAACACCCACTTTTGCACTATATAAATATAATAGGGGGTGAGCCTATTGCCATATAGCGGGCACAATTCGAGACTCCGTGCTATTACTGAGATTTTTTTTAAAAACCCAGTAATACTTTGCCCGTCCCGGGAATCGAACCCGAGACCCCTTGCTCGGCAGTCGCACTTGCAACCTTTCGACTAACGAGGCAGTCATATTTAGACGTTTCACAAAATGGAAGCTGGAATTAGGACCGATATATGGCAATAGACTCACCCCCTATTACACGGGACTCGTAACATAAATAGTAAAAAGTGGGTGTTACATTGTACAGTGGTATTAAGTGCCGTAATGTGCATCTCGGATAAAAGGCGTGATGTTATGTTATGTAATCTAAAATGAATTTTGTTTCTATATCGAGTTCACAAATCGAATAATATAAATAGCAATGAGATTTTCAATTATTTAGACAACAAAATAGAATCTGAAAGCAATGTCCTATTTACATCGTAACTATTATAAGGGCTGAAAACTTTGTTTCTTTATTTGAACGCGTTAATCTCAGGAACTGCTGGACCGATTTGAATAATTCTTTTTGTGTTGAATAGTCCATTTATCGAGAAAGGCTATAGGCTTAATTATGGGACAAGCCCGCCACAACCTCCCATAACCACTGCAACTCCTGTAAGCCAGGATCTACAATAGATACAACCTTGAAAACACCGGAACACTGAAGTCCGGCGGGTCCCAGGGACATGAGTAACTGTCTTGGTTCCCGCAACGAAGTGAATCAGAAGATATTATAAGAGGAGAAGAAAAAAAACTATAGTTTAAAGGCTATAACATCACGCTGTGATCAATAGGCGCCGAGCAAACAGGTTAAAATCGCGCGGAAGTAGCTAATACCTACTCAATAATACTCTTACCACAGACTTCTTCCGAAAATAAACCACACAATATAACTTCTAACTCCCTTCTCTTCTCAACAGCAAACGGCGTGGAAGCTGGCCAAACGAAAAAGCTTAAAGACCTGGACGATCTCCTACCATACGTTGGAGACTTCGGCTGGTACCAGCGCATACTGTTCCTGTTGATGATCCCTTATTCCTTCTTCTTTGCTTTCGTATACTTCGGTCAGATCTTCATGACACTGGTGCCTGAAGAACATTGGTGCTACGTACCGGAGCTGGCGAATTTGAGCGTGGAAGAAAGGTGAGTTTCTATTTAGTAATAACACATAACATTACATCACGCCTTTTATCCCCGAAGGGGTAGGCAGAGGTGCACATTATGCCACTGTACAATGTAACACCCACTTTTCACTATTTATGTTATGTTTCCCATGTAATAGGGGGTGAGCTTATTGCCATATACCGGGCACATTTATTTGCCGTCTCTGTCATTTTACTAACAATTTGTAGAGACAGAACTATACTTAAGCGCGACTTAAAATTGCGCGACTTAAAGTAGCGTTTCAGTATTCCGACATAAGTCGGTAACATAATAAGTAAGTCTGTATAATTCTTTTCTCATTTTCAGACGTCATCTTTCAATTCCATTCGTCGACGGAAAATATGACAGATGCTCTGTATACGACGTAAATTGGACATCGGTACTACAGAATGGAACCTTGACACCAAACCCAGAATGGACCGTGAAGAAGTGCGAACACAAATGGGAATTTAACTATTCTGATGTTCCTTATGAAACCATTGCATCGCAGGTAATTTTATGATGATCTAAGTAAGTGTGTCGCCTGGACACTCAACCTCGCTACATTCTAATTGTTACTAGTTGTATTTTCGAACCACCTGTATATGTACATTATGGATGCAATAAATACTTGATTACTTGATCCTTGTTGACTGGACATCTACACTATATCAGCTGCTGTTTACATGTGAACATTAGCTCATGACGATACCTAAGTACGTGTGTCGCCTGGACAGTCAACCTCGCAACATCCTTGTTGACTTGACATCTACACTACATGAGCTGCTGTTTACATGTGAACATTGGCTTATGACGATACCTAAGTACGTGTGTCGCCTGGACAGTCAACCTCGCTACATCCTTGTTGACTGGACATCTACACTACATGAGCTGCTGTTTACATGTGAACATAACGATAAAACATCTGTTTAATATTAGTCCTGGTTATTATATGGTCGTCGTCTCTTTTCCTCTTACAGCAAGGATGGGTGTGCGACAAAGATGACTATCCAGCAACTGCTCAAGCAATTTTCTTCTGTGGAGGTATAGCAGGAGGTTTCATTTTCGGATGGGTGGCTGACAAATATGGAAGACTGCCGGCTTTGATTGGTAAGTTAATCTTCATGTCATTAAGTTTCTTTTCCGAGCAGGTTAAAATAGAAGTGTAGAAGAGAAAAATAATTATTTTCTCACCACCCGTATTCTTCCTGTTGGTGTTGACGAATTATATACCCGACTAAAGAACAACACATTTGACAGAGACCGGACAGCAGCGCTCTCTGTTAAACCTGAACCTTTTATACTGCCATCCCCAACTCACGTGGCAAGCGCGGAGATTATGATAAACCCCTCTTATGTAGAAGCTTAATTAGAATAATCTAGCAGTGGATTGACAAGACAAAGACAATAAATATCACTCTAAATAGAGCCTTTTATGAGAGGGCAAATCGTCAAATGATCCATCTTCAGTGAGGCAAGAGAAGGAGTATTAGACTCTTTTTTTTAAATAGCATAAACCGGTAAACGAGCAGACGGATCACCTGATGGTAAGCAATCGGCGCCGCCCATAGACACTCAAAATACCAAGGCGTTACAAGTGCGTTACCGGCCTTGGGAATTGGGAATTTGAGGATTGTGGAGGACTCGGGGATTCGGGATACGGGGATTTCTTAATGACTAAAAACCTTACCGTTCCTACTCCTGTACCGACCTGGAGCCCCGATAACCCATTAAATTGTCTGCAGCCCTCGTCCTTAAAACTACTAAGAAATAATATAATATTTAGACATATTATCTGCTTCCTTGCCTTCGCTACCAATAATTTTAATTTCTTTACAGGTGCGAATTTGGCTGGCTTCGTTGGCGGATTGGGATCAGTATTTACCAATGCTTTCTGGTCATTCTGCATTTGTCGATTCATTGTTGGACTGGCTTACGACAACTGCTTCATCATCATGTATATTGTTGGTGAGTTATCAAAGTCAAAGTCAAAATCATTTATTTCAATTAGACCAGTAAGGCACTTTTGAACGTCAAAACAAAATATTTAAATATTAAACAATAAGAAAAAAAATGTCTGTCTGTAGGTCAATCCTCTAGTGAAGCTATTTGCTCGTTCCAAAGTGTAGATTCCTATGGAGAAGAACGAATATCCTTAATCTAATACCTATTTCTTTTCCACTTTTAAGGTGTCAATTATAAACTAAAATCACGGGTTACTCACGTGAATATACTGAGAAAAGCTCTACTAGTTTCAGTCACAATGAAATATTAAATAATAATCACACTTTCATTAATAGATTTTATTACCAACTTAATTTTAGTATTTTTCCAGCATTTTTTAAGAAATAAGTATGATGTTTGACGGTAAAAAACTGTGACGTCACACACAATACACAATCTCGTACAAAATTCATAGAAAACTGTCGTTTTTGACAGTTCGAAAAAAGTATTAAATTTGAATAGTTGGCAAGTACCTAATTGGATTCAAGAGTGTTGTATAAAATGGTTACATGCAGGAACAACTAAAACTGCAGACCGCCATTAGCACACTGTTTTATTCCTTTTAAAAAATAGCATAGACAATATACAACCATAGACTATTGTCATTACAAGGTGGCCAGTAATCTATTTGCATAGATAACAAATACACAACAAAGAGTAAGCCCCCTTGTGGGCCGTGAGCATTTTTACCACCGTGGTGATATAAAAAAAAATCTTCAGCATAAACTTAGACACGTCTTTGGCTTTCTTTCAGTGCTGGAATACGTGGGGCTAAAATGGAGGACATTTGTAGCCAATATGTCGATAGCTGTATACTTCACATTCGCCGCCTGCATTCTGCCCTGGATTGCTCTGGCTGTGAACGACTGGAAAATCTATACTCTCATCATCAGCGTTCCTTTAGCATTAGCTGTGCTAACTCCTTGTGTGGTACCTGAAAGTGCTCGGTAAGTTTTGTTTTAACATTTTTTTTTATTAGGAGCAGACGTGTCGCCTCATAGACATACACCAATGAAGTTATAAATGCATTGCTGGCCTTTTGGAAGGGAGGAAATTTAGTCCTACCGAACAGAAAGAGTTTATCTTGAAACCACTACCACCTGGAGTGATATAACAAAACTCCTGTAAAGTGGCGATGACATAACTGTGATATTTTAGTCACCTACCAAACCTAGAGATTAAATCACATGCCCTTTTTTTATGGCATAAGCCGGTAAACGAGCAAACGGATCACGTGATGGTAAGCAATCGGCGTCGGCCACCTGGAACACCAGAGGCGTTACAAGTGCGTTACCGGCTTTTTAGGGATTAGGAGTTTGAGGATTGTTGGGGTTTCAGGGATCCCCTCTTAATAGTTGGTTTAGTAGTGAACTTATCCCGGTTTATTTTATTTTTCACTTCTTGTACAATATACAATGGTGGCCTTAATGCCTAGTGGCATTCTCTATCAATCAACCTTAGGCAGCCAAACACAATAGTGTGTGTTAAAGTTTAAAATTGTAGTTAGTTTTTTTTAAATCTATACATATAATAAAATCGTAGGACGTGAAATGCTTGAGACGTGATCTACAATCGATATCGAATGTAAAAATATGGTATATAGAATTTTTGTCTGTCTGTCTGTATGCATGTCCGGGCTATACTAAAAAAGTACTGCAAGTGTTTACTTCCAATTTTGCATGAATATCACTGATAGGTCGGATCAATATATAGGCCACATATTATTATGCTATCACCTACGGGGGAGGAGCTGTGAACCACTATTCCACGAAGACGAAGTCGCGGGCACAGCTAGTAAATTAGAATGTGAATATATACGAAGAAGTATTACAATATATACGTAATGCACAATGAACAGTAGACAAATAAATAGGGGCATACATACCTAGGTATATTTTATGATGATGATGAGGATAAAATCTTCTTTACTTTGGTAACGTAGGCACGGTAATTAATTTTGGGGTCGACAGCCAATGTAATTAAAATAGGATTTTGAAATTATTATTAGACATAAAATCACGCCTGTTATCCCCGAAGGATTAGGCAGAGGTGCACATTACGGCACTTAATGCCACTGCACAATGTAACACCCACTTTTCACTATTTATGTTATGAGTCCCATGTAATAGGGGGTGAGCCTATTGCCAAATACCGGGCACATTTCCAGACTCCGTGCTACTACTGAGATTTTTAAAAAACCCAGTAATACTTTGCCCGACCCGGGAATCGAACCCGAGACCCCTTCCCCAGCAGTCGCTCTTGCGACCACTCGGCCAACGAGGCAGTCGGCGAGGCAGAAATTATTATTAAAATTTTCGATTTTCTCATTCACAACTCATAATGTATATAAAGTAGGTAGGGAGCAATACAATATAATATTGTGTATTTGATATCTGCATAAATTAATCATATATACAATTTCAGATGGCTCATAGCCCAAGGACGAATCGATGAAGCTATCAAAATTATGCAAAAATGCGAGCGAATCAACAAGAAGAAGATACCTACTGAAGTTATCGAAGAGTTTAGGGTAAGTGGTATTTTAAAAGCAGGATAAATGCGGTGAAAAGCCCTGTAAAGTATGTGTGGAGTAAATTTGAGTGATCGAGTGAACAATAGTGTTATTAGAGAAAGGTGTGGATTGAAAGATGATGTAGTGACAAGGATTGAAAAGGGAATGTTACGCTGGTTTGGACATGTAGAAAGGATGGATGAAAGTAGAGTAACGAAAGAAGTATACATATACAGAGCGGATATGATTGGGGTCGTTGGTAGAGGGCGCTCTAGACGGACATATACTGACCAGATTCGCGATATATTAAAGGAGAGCCAAATTAAAAGTACCCTTCACTGGCGAGCATGCATGATAAGATTGATGACTGTTGATGAAGCGAAAGAGGTATGTAGGATTCGTAGGAATTGGCGTTCCATAGTCCCTGCCTACAGAGAAATAGGCGTACAGTTATGTATGTAGCCTTTTACCACCACCCCAGCTCAATGGGTACAGAGCCATGGAGAACTTAACCGGTTACCGGGGCTCCGGCTCGAAGTGCAGGAGTAGGGACGGGGTGGTTTTTAGTCAGTAAGAGTCTGACACTCCCTTCCGCCTCACCCAGGTGGGAGCAGTAATTCGATGATCCCCCCCCCCTTAAATAAAAGCTCTTTCAATGGGTGTCGTGATATTCGACTCAGAGATAACACATTTGAAGCAGTAAGACTATCTGATAAACTTATTGACTGTGATCGGAAAACCGTGGTTTAACCGAAATAAATGTTTTAAAGACAAACGTTAACGCAGCTAGATACAGTCAAAGTTAAAGTCAAAGTTAGAGTCAAAGCCAAAGTCAGTGTCAAAGTCAAAGTCAAAGCTAAAAGTTATATCTTCTACTATATAAAAATAAGTCGGGTTTTCCTTCCTGACGTTAAAACTCCAGAACGCACGAACTGATTTCCACGGTTTTGCATTCGTTGGAAAGATCTCGGGCTCAGTGAGGTTTATAGCAAAGATTCTTCATCTTTTAATCACCAAACGAAATGTTACATAAAACGAAACCATCTGGTGACGAAACGGAGTTCGCCGAGTTTGCTAGTTTAACTTATAAGTTAAACTTAAGACTAATCAAATCTAAGACTGAAAGTCTATTATGACATTCCAAAAGCATTACTGAGTAGCAAAATAAAATAAATTCACAACTTCTTCATGAACAGGTGACAGCAACAGAAATAGCGAAGCAAGAACAAGAATTGAAGAACTACAGCGTTCTGGATCTCCTCAAGACACCTCGTCTTCGTCGCCACAGCATACTCCTGGTCATCATCTGGATGTCCATAGCCATGGTCTTTGATGGCCATGTCAGGAACGTTGGGTCCTTGGGCCTGGACATCTTCAAGACCTTCACTGTCGCCACGTTCACAGAATTTCCAGCTGATGTCTTGCTGATTCTGATTTTGGACATGTGAGTACCATATCTGGATTTTTGAAGTGGAATTTAGACACATAACATAACATCACGCCTTTTATCCCCGACGGGATTGGCAGAGGTGTACATTATGCCACTGTACAATGTAACACCCACTTTTCACTATTTATGTTATGAGTCCCATGTAATAGGGGGTGAGCCTATTACGATATACCGGCCGCAATTCCAGACTCCGTGCTACTACTGAGAATTTTTTAAAACCCAATAATACTTTGCCCGACCAGGGAATCGAACCCGAGACCCCTTGCCCGGCTGTCGCACTTGCGACCACTCGGCCAACGAGGCAGTCTTGGAATTTAGATTTTTTAAATAGTTAATATGAAAAATGTAGTCGTGAGTTTGATCTGTATAGAAAGAAAGGAAGAATGAATATTGGTTTATTTGCACACCGTGACAAAGTACAATATTTTTTTCTTATTATTTAATACTAGCTTTTACCCGCGGCTTCGCTCGCGTCACAAAAGAATAAAAGTAGCCTATGTGACATATACCAATACACACAGCGCCATCTATACCAATACTTTTGTTTTTCCTCGGAAATATCAATTTTTTCCGGGATAAAAAGTACCCTATTATTTAATCCGAACTTCTAACTTTACGTCTGCAAAAATTCAAAGCAGTCGGTTGAGTAGTTACGGCGTGAAGGTGGAACAAACAAACAAACAAATTCACTTTCAGGTTTATAATATTAGTAACGATTTAAATATTTTGTTGTGACGTTCAAAAGTGCCTTCCTGGTCTAATTGAAATGAAAATATTAAACAGTAAAGACGGCGCAAAAAGGCCAGAGCTCAGCTTAAATGCCGTGACCCGAGTGCGCTCGTGTCGCGCCGCTGATTTTCAGCACTTGCCCGTGACTATAATAATATGTATGTTTGTGCGCAATCGGCTGAACGCGATCTTGCGATCGGCTGTACCGATTTTGATGCGGTTTTTAAAAAAGTGTTTGTTACACTTAGGAGAAGTGTTTTAGTATATTAGTTAATTGCCTTCGAAAAGTGAGGGTTCAAGTCGATTTTTTAAATTTATTATCGCAATTATATTTTATTGCTCACTAGCTTCTGCCCGCGACTTGGTACGCGCAATCCCGTTTTGTCCCGTTCCCGTAGGATTTTAAGGATTTTTTCTGTCTTAAGAACCTTCTCACTAATAGTAACAAATACAACAAAAAAAGAATTAGTGAAATCGGTCCAGTCAATCACGCGTGATCACTCACTCACTCACCACTATTTTAATAGTCGGTTTTTCAAAAAAAAAACTCTTAATGTCTCTTGAGGCTGAAACTGTACCCAGTATATGGCAACAAGTTCACCTTCCTTATAGAGAAACTGCTTTTCAATATTTATTCATTTTATTTCCAGAATTGGACGTCGTTGGCTGGCTTTCAGTACGATGGTGATCAGTGGAATATTCAGCCTTCTAGCCTGCACTGCACCTATTGGTAAATATTATAGTATAACATAACAAAATATTACTCTGTGGTACGCCGCCAATCTATGGAGCCGGTACATTAATTAAGTCACTTGTATCATCTGATTGAGCTCCCTGGTAACCATGAGCTTGCGTGGTGTTTACTGTTTTATTGTCGAGTCTATATTAGGCTCCAAGATCCACATATCATCACGCCTTTTATCCCCGAACTTCTGACACCATTCTGACTACTTCTTCTCCCACAGGTATAGCCTCAGCCTCCCTAGCCATCGTGGGCCGTTTCGCAGTGAACATCTCATTCAACATCGGAATGCAGTATGCAGCAGAATTACTTCCCACAGTGGTCCGAGCTCAAGGCATCGCTCTCATTCATATTAGCGGATATGTCGCTACTATACTCACACCGTACATCGTTTATATGGTAAGTAGACTAAAAAGACCAGTAGACCAGTAGACTAGTAGACCGAAAGACCTATAGACTAGGAAAGGAATAGAAAAAAATCTAATTGATTTTTTTCTTTATCGCAAAAGGTTAAGGTTTGATTAGTAGTGTTGTTTAATACAGCATATTTGTCACTCTACCCGCGGTTATTGTATACCCGACTAAGGGACAGAGACCGGGCAGCAGCGCTTTCTAATAAACCTGAACCTTTTATACTACGATCTCCAACTCACCTGCTCTACTTGAAGATTATGACGCACTCTTGTGTAGATGGAGCCCATACGCCAATGATTATTTATTATGGAATAAGCCGATAAACGAACGGATCATCTGATGGTAATCAATCGGCGTCGCCCATGGACACCTGAAACACTAGAGGCTTTACAAGTGCGTTACCAGCCTTTTGGGGATTAGGAGTTTGAGGATTGTAGGGGATTCAGAGATTGGGGAGATTGGAGAGAGGGGGTGGGGTAATTTGGTCTCCGGTAACTCACTCATATGACGAAACACAACGCAAGCGTTGCTTCCCATCGGTTGTCTGGTTGACCGTGGTATCACTCTAGTCGAGCTGGCCCATTCGTATTGAAGCATAGCTCATCTACAGTTATAAGTCTTCACCAAGTAAACCTAAACTAAATATTAATATCTTTATTCCAGGCGACCATAGCAAGAGAGATTCCCTTGCTAATTTTGGGTGCTTTAGGCATATTTGGAGGTTTCCTATGCCTGTTCCTACCCGAATCCATGGGCAAGGAAATGCCTCAAACAATCCAGGATGGTGAAGAATATGGCCTCGACCAGAAGTTCTGGGACTTCCCGTGTTGCAACAGGTAATTATATGCTATTTTTACTTCCTTACATTTGTAAAAAACAATAGTATCTAAGATTAATTGGGATGATGACAGGGTATGAAAATTAAAAATCTAATTAGTCCGTCAATTAGGTAATGAAAAAATATTAGACACGCATTTTTTTATTTAATTTGTCGTATAATAAAATAATACTTAGATAAAACGAGTCAGAGTTTAGGAGTGGGGGCTAAAACGTCATTTCTACGTATAAAAAGTACATAGGAGTGACGTCACGCGACATTTCAAATCAATATATCGTTGAAAGTATTCGTTTCTGTAAGAAAATAAAAAATACGTGTCTAATGATTTGGAATAATCTATCAGACGGACATTGTAATAAAAATTAGGCATCTACCCTATTAGAATTATAATAATATTTCACCAATTATATTAATAGTCCCATGTAATAGGGGGCACAATGTACTCCCATTGTATTTTGAAATTCCGTTCAAATACTGAGAATTACAGAAAACCCGAAATCTGGTTTGCAATTTGCTCCAACAGTCGAACTTAAGACTGCTTGGCAGTCTCATTTGAACTTTGACCCGACCGGCAAAAGACTTAAAATATACTTCTATGAAACTGATTTATATTTTCTTTTACAGGAAGAAGGACAAGGAAGTCAAGAATGAAACACGATTTTGATTAATGTGAAATGTCTATTTATTAAATGAAATTATTTATTGCGAACATTATAACTACATTAATATTTACAACTTATAATTAACTATAACTAAACTATTAAATAAAACGAAAGTAAAAAAGGGAAACAACAAAAATTATACCCTTAATTTAGGCGTCAAAGTATTCGTCCGCATCACTATCACAGGGGAACGTTCCCAGGAGACTGGTAGCATTGCCACGTTGAATGGCAATGCTTATTGTCTGTCCGAAGAAATAGCCAGCCCTCTGGTCACGTGTAGAGTCGATAAGCCTACGGGCGATGTCTTTAAACACAGAGTGTGCACTGGGACCCCATGGCCCAAGTGTTTCGACCCCAAACGGCTCAAAACAGTAGTTACCCACTAGATTTGAATATTTACGCCGTTTGAGGGCCTCTGCCACGGAAGCAGCTGCACCAACGCATGCAGCGGTGCTTAGAAGAAATTAATTTCGAAAATAATATTGTGATACGAATTCTACACCGATTTTATACATCTATTTTGTTCCTGAGTCATAGCGTGTTTATAGATAGTAACTGTTTAGAAGGTACGATTATTTTTTACGATGATAAGCAATGAAGTTACAAGTGCGGTACCGGTCTTTTGAGGATTAGGAGTTTGAGGATCGTTGGGGATTCAGGGATTGAGGAGACTGGGGATGGTACTTGGGCTTTCGGTAACCTCACTCACACGACGAAGCACAACGCAAGCGTTGCTTCACGTCGGTTTTCTGCTCGGCCGCGGTATCACTCCGGTCGAGGCGGCCCATTCGTGCTGAAGCATAGCTCTCCCACTAAATGTTAATGATCGTCGATATCGGTCCTTCCATTCTTTAGTTAGAAATTGTGTTACTTTGTTTTTTATACATATGAATGTTTGATTGGTTTATTAAGTGTATCTGGATAATCACCTATGTAGCTGTGTGTATTGACAAATTGACAAATAAATTATTGTTTAATATAAAAACTGTTTTTCTTATTTACCTTTTAATGTCCTCAACAATGACGTTGAAATAATACCGTACACAGTCTCTTGAAGCAACGACTGTGGTACCTGGCTTCTATTTTTTTTTTTTTTAAGGGGGAAAATCATCGAATGACTGCTCCCGCCTGGGTGAGGCGGAAGGGAGTGTCAGACTCTTACTGACTAAAAACCACCCCGTTCCTTCTCCTGCACGTCGAGCCGGAGCCGTGGTTACCCGTTAGGTTCTCCGCGACACCTGGCTACTATAGACTTACACGCAGAATACACACACATTGACACGAAGGACATCTTTCATTTTCTTACGTCTAGTAACGTGGTAACCCATTACACACGCACACATATATAACCCACTGACATTATGGTGCTTCAATCATTTCTAAATGACATTATGTCCGCCTTATTTTCAACGTCATTGGTCCACAAGGACAGGGGCAAGGGGTCTCGGGTTCGATTTCCGAGTCGGGCAAAGTAATACTGGGTTTTTAAAAAATTCTCAGTAGTAGCACGGAATCCGGAATTGTGTCCGGTATATGGCAATAGGTTCACCCCTTATTACATGGGACTCGTAGCATAATACTGAAAAGTGGGTGTTATATTGTACAGTGGGATTAAGTGCCGTAATGTACACCTCTACTCCTTCGGGACTAAAAGGCGTGATATCATGTATAATAGGATTTCCGACCCTTGAATCAAAACCTAGACTCTATAACTAGTAATTCTTCATAACATTCTTTATAACAATTATAGCGGACCCGACAGACGTTGTCCTGCATATCCACTTGAATGTATAAGCGAAAAATCATTCAAATTAGTTCAGCCGTTTAGGGTAACTAACCTAGATACCGACTGCAGCGCCATCTGCCGGGCTGATTTGTGAATCTAAACACAAAAAATTACATCAAAATCGGTCCAGTCGTTTGAGAGAAGTTCAGTGACATACACACTCACAGAAGAATTATATATTATATAAAGATTTGAACAGGAAAATAATGTAACTGTAATATGACAAGGGTACGGACACAAGTCCGTGGAGAATTACAGTTTATTATTAACTAGCTTTTACCCGCGGCTTCGCTCGCGTCACAAAAGAATAAAAGAAAAAAAATAGCCTATGTGACATATACCAATACATACAGCGCCATCTATACCAATACTTTTGTTTTTCCTCGGGAATATAATTTTTTCCGGGTTAAAAAGTACCCTATTATTTAACTCGTCGAGTACCGTATTTATAGACACAATTAACTCGTCGAGTACCGGTATAGACACAATTAAAGAACAATAGGTCGCGGTCACCGGTGACCGCTTGGTGTTTGACAGTTTAAAGAACAATAGGTTGCGGTCACCGGTGACCGCTTGGTGTTTGACAGTTTAATCCGGACTTCCAACTTTACGTCTGCAAAAATTCAAAGCAATCGGTTGAGTAGTTACGGCGTGAAGGTGGAACAAACAAACAAACTCACTTTCCGATTTATAATATAAGTAAGGATAACTCGGCATTCACTTACAACAACTAGACCAACAACAAACTCTTATCACTGTTATCTCAACAAATAAACGGTTCAAGTCGTTAACTGTAACATTAACAGTTAAAATAATTGTTTATGAAAAATTAACAAAAAAATGTGAATCATGAATGAACATCCGAACTCGATATGTAAACGTAAATATTGTGGGTTTGGGGTATAGTGAGGGGGAAATGTTGCAGTCGATAAATTAAGATATCGATAGAAAATTGCGTGTAGGTTACACTGTGAGTTGTATGAAAATGTATACATACGTCTTCCATTCGATTTTAAGTGTTAAGACATACATTTTATTTTATCCGGTAAAAGTTTAAAGAAGCGTTAAAGAATACTTTTTTTTTCTATGACATAAGCCGGTAAACGGGCAGACGGATCACTAGAGTACCAAGCACGAATAACTATCGCAATTGTAACGTAATAGTATCGTGTGCGTTCGGCGCTCTGATTGGCCGACTCAAGTGAACCAATCAATCAGAACGCTTACTTCGCTCGATACTGTTACGTTACGAATGCGATAGTTATTCGTGCTTGGTACTCTGATGGTAAGCAATCACTGTCGCCCATGGACACCCGAAACACCAGAGGCGTTACAAGTGCGTTACCGGCCTTTGGGAATTAGAAATTGGAGGATTGTGGGGGATTCGAGATTGAGGAGACTGGGGAAGCGGGTAATTGCGCCATCGGTAACCTCACACACGACGAAACACAACGCAAGCGTTGTTTCACGTCTGTTTTCTGTGAGGCCGTGGTATCACTCCGGTCGAGCCGGCCCAATCGAACCGAAGCATGGCTTTCCCGCACACATACCTACTATTATCGATCTACATCTACAGGGTGTAAAAGAAACTCTCCCGAAAAAGGCCTACAGGTGATGGTAAAAACAAGTTTTATTGTCATAAAAGTAATGTATTAAATCAATTAAATGTTTCTTTAATGTAATCATAGTTGTAAACAACTGCTCAAAGCTGTCGTTGCATGAATAACACAATAACAAAAACGCATCTAGCCCAATGCGCCCTCTGCCGGACACCACGAGCGTTTGCTTCCACTTCCGGCAGCGGCGCGCTTAAAATTATAGTATTCCTTAGTCACCTCTTACGATAGCCACAGTATTATAACGTGATTTGAACTGCAGCTTTATTACATGGCATGGCTGTATTCTGTTTAGTGAATAGTAATTAATGAAATTTCGTTGAGAATCAGATGTAAGAAAAACATGTAACTAAAATTAAAAGACCATGCACCACCACACAATTAAAGAAGAATAGGGTCCTCGCGGTGTTTGACAGTTTAAGAAAGGTTTATATGTATCACCATCAACAGCCTATAAATGCCCACTGCTGAGCAAAGCCTCTTCTCACACGGAGAAGGTTAGAGCATTAATCACCACGCTTGCTCAATGCGGGTTGGCGATTTCAAACTTATAATTAGAAATTATAAGTCCAGGTTTCCTCACGATGTTTTCCTTCACCGTTTGTCAGTGGTGTCTAAATAATCTTAGAAAGTACATATAACTCGGAAAAAGTCACTTTGGTACTTGCCGTTGGTAGGTTTCGAACCCGCACCCTCATGCATGAGAAGTGGGCGTCTTAAACCTCCGGTTTATATGTATAATACAGGCATATTACACCCGGGGCGAGTCGCTAATATAATTATACTAATCTTAATATAATATAACTAATCAAGAAATAGCGAAAAATCTTTCAAAATTACAACATAAAACGCCACACATCGATATCGACAACACCCAACACTATGCAATAAGAAATTTACAAACAAAACGTACGAAAATTCATACGATACTCATAAGCAGCATTCCTACCATTCACAACTCATTGTACGTCGAGAAATGTACCTAATATGTTTTCAAAAACTATCATTGTACTGGTGTTCTTAAAAAATTCTGGTCTCTGCGACTATCTGGAGTCAGAAGCCAACTACATAAAACCGAAACTAGAAAGAAATAATATAGTGAACAAAGGAGTTTGGGTTCGCAATAAAATCAAAGAAAGCCTCTACGACAAGAGTCGACTGGGCGACTTCATCTTTCGCGAAAATTCTTTAGATGTGGACAATTTATTGCAGAATAACTTCGATGCATTTGGGACGAATTATATGCAGGATTCTCCGGTCGTGTCTGCGTACTTTAAAAGGAATAAAAGGCAGGTTAGACGTGAGTATTCAATTATTTTATTAATCTTTAATCTATCTCTATGTGTGAGAGAGCCATGCTTCGGCACGAATGGGCCGGCTCGACCGTAGTGATACCACGGCCGAGTAAAAAACCGACGTGAAACATCATTTGTGTCGTTTTTGTAATAACTATCGTGAGACATACTAAATTAGCTAAAAATAACTCACGTGAATATACTGAGAAAGCATCCCCTGTTACATGGGACTCATAACATAAATAGTGAAAAGTGGGTGTTACATTGTACAGTGGCATTAAATGCCGTAATGTGCACCTCTACTCCTTCGGGGATAAAGGCGTGATTTTATGTTATAATCTATTTCTATACCAAATTTCATTCAGATCTTTCCAATGCTTTGTTGAAAGCTCACTTAATATGACAAATAAGTAAGAATCATGTATGTAAGAGTCGTAGCAATTAGCGTTCCTTAGTCACCCCCATGGGAGACAGGCGTGAAGTTATGTAGGTACATAGTATAAAACAAAGTCTATCCGCCGTCTGTCTGTCCCTATGTATGCTTAGATCTTTAAAACTACGCAACAGATTTTGATGCGGTTTTTTTAATAGGTAGAGTGATTCTTAAGGAAATTTTATATGTATTATTAAATACATGCTAAGAATCAATCGTGGAGTTTATTGCTCATTCATTTCTATATATATGTATTTCACGTGGGAGTGCCATCTTCCATCAATGGGCCGGCTCGACCGAAATGATACGGTCTCACAGAAAATCGATGTGAAATAACGCTTGCATTATATTTCACCGTGTGAGTGATGTTACCGGAGGCCCATTTCCCGATCCCCAAATCGCCAATGCCCAAAATAGCAATCCCTATAAGGCTTGCCACGTACTCTTAACTCCTCTGATGTCCATGCGCAGCGCAATAAATTATTTTAAAAATAATTGCACTAAATGATTTAATGATACACTTAATTCGTGGTAAATGAAACCCGTTTCCCGTTGTCACGCTATAACTTGAGAATGGCTGGACCGTTTTCGTTGATTTTTTTTTTTTTGTTGTTTTTGTTATTGTCAGGAGAAGGTTCTTATGATAGAAAAAAAGCCTGAATATCTTATGGGAATGGGAGAAAACGGGATTGCGCGTACGAAGTCGCGGGTAGAAGCTAGCTATGTATTTGATGCAATAAATATGAAATTATCTTTTAACATATAAAAGATTCATTTGACTAAGTACTTGAAAAACGTGGAAAATTTTAAAGACCGATTTTTCCAACGACAATTGGGTACTTGCCTCGATCAAAAATAAATTATTTCGACTGTTCAATACAATGAAATATTAAAAAATAATCGCACTTTCAGTAATTGATTTTATGACCAACTTAATTGTGTCCTAACTTTAAGCCAATGTTACATCTTAAGAAACATTATGGAATGCAAATAACGATATGAATATGAATAATTTTAGTATTTTACCAGCAATTTTTTAAGAATAAAGTACGCTGTTTGACGCTAAAAAAACGTGACGTCACAATACACAATCTTATACAAAACACATAGAAAACTGTCGTTTTTGACAGTTCGAAAAAAGTATTGAATTTGACAAGTTGGCAAGTACCCAATTGGGATGATGACAGGGTATGAAAATTAAAAATCTAATTAGTCTGCAAGTTAGGTAATGAAAACATATTAGACACGTATTTTTTTATTTTGTCGTAAGTATAATAAAACAATACTTAGATAAAACGAATCAAAGTTTAGGAGTGGGGGCTAAAACGTCATTTCTACGTATAAAATGTACATAGAAGTGACGTCACGCGACATTTCAAATCAATATATCGTCGGAAGTATTCGTTTCTGTAAGAAAATAAAAAATACGTGTCTAATGATTTAAAATAATCTACCAGACGGACATTAAAATACAAATTAGGCATCTACCCTATTCTTCCTTGTCGCGGTGAACCTAACGGGTAACCGGGGCTCCGGCTCGACGTGTAGGAGAAGGAACGGGGTGGTTTTTAGTCAGTAAGAGTCTGACGCTCCCGCCTCACCCAGGCGGGAGCAGTCATTCAATGATTTTCCCCCCTTAAAAAAAAACAAAAAAAACTACTACAGTTAATTATTTTTTATTTATTTTTTTCTATTGAAAAAAAACGTTGCCCCACACTAGGATTTTCTCCTGTGTCGTGGGTGCGTTTACAAACATACAAGTTCACATACACAATGACACCCAGACCTGGAACAACAATTTGTGGATCACACAAAGTGTTGTTCCGTGTGGGAATCGAACCCGCGACACGTTGCACGGCAGCCGGTTGCCCAGCCACCGCACCAACCATGCAATTAACACCTGATAATTGAAAATACGACCCCGAATGTGGTAAAACACGTGACCATATCAGGAGTTTTGAAAACACGGCTAGTTGAAGTCCTTCTGTACAAACAAATGATAAGGTTGACAAAATCACGTTACAGTACTTATGGCGATTCAAACTGTACGGTGCAACCGCACATCATAAAAGATCGTCAGCATTTACGCCTCACATTCATTTTACTGCCTCGTTGGCCGAGTGGTCGCTAGTGCGACTGCCGGGCAAGGGGTTCGATTCCAGGGTCGGGCAAAGTATTACTGGGTTTTAAAAAATTCTTAGTAGTAGCACGGAGTCTGGAATTGTGCCCGGTATATGGCAATAGGCTCACCCCCTATTACATGGGACTCATAACATAAATAGCGAATAGTGGGCCAAAAAACTAGTTTTTTAAAGAATGTTTTTGGTGGGATCGAATTGACAACTTACAGAATAGCCTGGCTAAACCTCCTTCTCCCAATAACCCCAATCTTGGCTGAAGGCTTAAAGATAGCAATTATTAGCGCGGTAGCGGAGGCAAGCCCCTCTCCCCCCTTCCCTGAATCCCGAACAATCCTCAAATTCCTAATTCCAAAAAGCCGGTAACGCACTTGTAACGCCTTCAGTGTTCCAGGAATCAATAGACCACGCCCATAAAAAAAAATTAGGTCATCAGTATATAAAAGGATGCTGCTATTTATTTCCCAGTGACTGTTCCCGATTCGATGCTGAAATCCTACAACGTGTCCCACGGCTTTTATATTTCCCATAGGGAAAGAAATCGAGTAACAGTACCGTCTAATAAACCTTTTAAATTGCTATTTTCGCCTTCAGCCAAGAGTCATCATGGCAAACCCTCTTATGTAGAGAAAGCTCAAAGTACCGCGCGGTTGGTTGACGGTGATGTGATGTTAATAACATAATTTGTTGCAGGTATTCGAGAACAGCGTCCTAGAAAGAGTATAATAAAAAACTGCATCGGTAAAGGATGTAAAATGAGCCTCGATGCGCAAGATCCGGCTCCAGATTTAATTAAAACTAAAGTTAATGAACTAAGAACCACATCAGTCTTTAACGACTACCCATATGAAGTAGCCATCTTGCCAAATAACAATACAGAAAAAATAAACACGCCAAACGTTAAAAAAGAAATCTCTAAGAATGCCAATTACAATTTTACCCGAAGCTACGGCATACCACATACTGAAAGTTTCGCATTTGAATCTGACAACGATACAGTAACGGTTAGAAATATATCGTCACCAAAAAGGAGCATGAAATATGATTTCGAAACTGAAATTATTAAAAAATTCGAATTTACTGAGGATATTAATAAGACCCATGGAAATAATGAGTATAATGATAGCAAAATCACTGATAGAAACATATTTGATAAAGAATCCGTTTGGCATCAAAATGCGCCGATACCAGATGTAAATGTCTATAAAGTTGTTCCTAAAGAACCTCAAAAGAGCAAGCCTGTCACTGAAAGAGGTCTAATAAAAGTTATATCAATGTTAACGAAAACGTTTAAGAAAATTATGAAACAACACAATGAAATTAAAGACATACATTCAAGAATTAATGATATAAATGAAGAATTTATCAAAAATGCTGCCACAGTCACTGGTAAATTCCAAGATTTCGATCTTAAATATCTCTATTTATTGAAGTTTCACGAGAAACTGAAGGTATTTGACGCAAAATTGGCATCCAAACAAGAATATTTCAAAAACAAAGAACGGGAAATGGCAAGGAATTTTAAGGAGTTTGAAAATCAGCAAAAGAAATTCTTGCAACAGCAACGACAGTTTTACAATATACAGAAGTTGATGCTGGCACAGAATGAGAAAATAAACTTGAAACAGAATTTGATTGCAAAGACACAGAGCGAAATATCCCATAGGCAGAACAACTTCGCTAGAATACTAAAGAAAGCAAAACAGTTATACGTAGAAAGTAGGAACCCGACTATAACTAAACTAAGTTCGAGTTTGACCAAACTGAATAACCATAACCCAAAGCCTGAACCAGTCACACATACGAGCACAGTAACTCCGTCAACAGAATCGGTTAAAATAAACCTGTTTTCAATACCAACATCAAACAAACTAGAAAATCAGGACGACCTAATAATCAAAGAAAAAGACGAACAAACTATCGACGATTTGGTCTACAAATATTATTTTAACAACACTTTCATAGACAATTTAATGAAAAATAATATACTAGCCAATGTTATGGGCGCTCCAGACAGTTCTACACATCAAAGAAACGTAAAAAGCAAGAGAAATGAACTAGAAACTACTATATTATTGCCTGTTTATGAGCCAACCGATACTGAAGCTTATGCCCATAAGAATAGAGAAAGAAGATGGATTAACCATCACTCAAGACACAGGGGTAAAAGACGTTACCGTGGTAAAAACGCAGAAGCAAGTATAATCAATTCTACTGATGCAAAAGTTCAAAGAAATAAAGTGATTAACAATGTACCTCTAGCTGCTGAGGGTCCCGTACTAAAAGAGACGAAAGACGTGAAAATAAAGAACGATCCTTTTTTAACTATGGCGACGAATTTCTGCAATGAAATTCGTCAAAATTTGAATCCACAAATGTTGAGGTGGTGTGTCGAGAAGGCATTGAGGAGATTGCAGTTTCTTGGTGAGTTTATGTTTTTATTCATGTTTTCATATTTTACGGTTAACTTTTCTCTATTTATGTTATGAGTCCCATGTAAGTCCCATGTACTCACGTACATGTACATACATGGGACTCATAACATAAATAGTGAAAAGTGGGTGTTACACTGTACAATGGCATTAAGTGCCGTAATAAATAATAATGCCTTTCGGCGATAAAAGGTGTGATGTATGTTATGCTCCACTTTAGCACGAAACTATTAGTAAAAATACATGTTTATGTTATAAACCCAGTGCTGGATTTATAAATATAACATAACATCTGCCGCCCCTAGATGAGAGCAGTGCGGCTCTCATCGATTTTGAGTCGCGGAAGGCCTAACGGGTTGTTGGGGCTCCGGCTCGACGTGTAGGAGAAGGAACGGGGTGGTTTTTAGTCAGTAAGAGTCTGACACTCCCTCCCGCTCGTCTGTTAGGGCGGGAGAAGTCATTAGATGATTTTCCGCCTCAAAAATAAAAGTAGGTACATGAGGCGGCGGATAAAATTGGCTAAAAAATTGGCATAAACAATATAAATCCGGCACTGTATAAACCTATAATTTTTTCCTAATTTATTTAAATTTTATGATTATCTACTGAAAAAGACTAAATTGTCAACCTCACGATATTTTGAAATCGACGAGATCTTGCTAGATTGTATTTCTAAGTTCTAACACGAGACCTCGCTTGTGCCCCAATCTCGCGACATTTGCATTCCCTAGCTCTGTCTTCCGCATCGATGATAAAACACATGACGTCATCTATGCATGTTTTACAGATATGAAAACTCCACCACCAACTGAAGTCTCAACAACTACACCATTAGTTAAACCAAAACGCATACCAATGATTGCCAAACTGAAACAACGAGTCGCCAGAGTTACTAAACCAGTTGAACTGAGCGAAGTGACTAAACAAGCATCAGCATCTACGACTGTCAGTGTAGAGACTGAACCGTCTACTGTCAGTACTAGTGAAGTACCGAGTGAAACGACAGGTGGGTTTTTGTCAGCTTTTTTTAAACTTTTCTCTAGTAGTGGTACTGGTACTGGTGAGTTTGTTTCGGCATTTATTCTCAGAGTAGTCAGTTAGGAAATGTCGACCTGATCGTTCGCTTGATAAAATTGACGTGTAAAAGTGCTGCCTTGTAGCCTATTTGCAGAAATAAATTCACTTGTTTCACTTTTTTTATGAGATAAGCCGGTAAACAGGCAGACGGATCACCTGATAGTAAGCAATCGGCGTCGCCCATGGACACCTAGAACACCAGAGGCGTTACAAGAGCATTACCGGCCTTTTGGGAATTAGGAGTTTGAGGATTGTGGGGGATTCGGGAATTGGGGAGATTGGGGAAGGGGTAAGTGAGCCTCCGGTAACCTTACTCACACGAGGAAACACAACGCAAGCGTTGTTTCACGTCGGCTTTCTGTGAGGCCGTGGTATCACTCCGGTCGAGCCGGTCCTTTCGTGCTGAAGCATGGCTCTACCACATTTACACTTGTTTCACTTGAGTTGACAAGCGTTCTCGAATTCGATTCCGCGAAGAACTTCTTTGCAGTTGAAACAAGAGGGGTCGCAAAAGCTACTGCTGAGCAATGGGTCTTAGGTTTGAATTTTCGTTTGGGTTAAATATTATATCTAGTGATCTGTCGTAAATTTTTCATTAGGAGCACAAAATCTGGACTAGTGTCTACACTAGGATATTCTCCTATATCGAGTGTGCATTAACAAACATACAAATTCACATACACATGACACGCAGACCCGGAAAAACAATCTGTGGATCCCACAAAGACTTGCTACTTGCGGGAATTGAAACCGCTACACGTTGCGCAGCACCCGGTTACCCAACCACGGCACAAACTGTGCAGTCAAATATATCTAAACTATTTATTACAGCATCACCATTCACACTATCAACATCTGAAAATACTACAACAGCAGCCATTAATGAAACCATAAAGAATCAGACTAAAGTGGATATCAACAATTTCCCAGGTACGCTATTAAGAACGATCCTCTTTACCATGTAATATTATGTCCATTTAGGCCGCCCTCTACCGACGTTCCCGTTCATATCCGTTTCGTATACTTCTTTTAAAAAAAAAAGAACTCAAAAATGTTTAGTGGCTAAAGCATAATTATAGTTTGCTATATTATACTCACTGTATTTAAATAAGAACAATTTTTTAAGTTAAAATACTTGAGTCAAAATATGTGTTCCTATTTAAGTTTTTATTTTTTGGGTTATATGTATGTCTTTAATTGTAGAATATTATCCAATGCATTTTAAAATTTATATCTTATGCATGCTTAACTGATAAAAATAGCTGTAGGAACCTGTATTTCTTTATCATTTGTAAATGTTACCCATATTTCCAAATTAAAAGTATCTTTATGTTTTATAAATCAGATTTCATGCATCCTTTCTACATACATACATTTGACATTACCCTACTCTCCCCGCGGGTATCATCTAAGCGGCCTTAGTGCGCTACACAATAAAATATTGTCAGTAAGTGTCTGACACTCCCAGCAATCGGCGCCGCCCATGGACACCTGAAGCACCAGAGGCGTTACAAATACGTTGCCTGCCTGTTGAAGATTGGGAATTTGAAGATTATGAGGGATTCGGGGATTGGGGAGACTGGGAAGGTGGGGGTAATTGGGCTCCGGTAACCTCACTCACACGACGAAACACAACGCAAGCGGTGCTTCACGTCGGTTTTCTGCTCGGCCGTGGTATCACTCCGGTCGAGCTGGCCCCTCATGCCGAAGCATGGCTATCCCACACTAAAGCAAATGTGATCACGAGAGAGTCGTGCAAGAAAATATTTTTATAACTAGTATCGTGGGACATACTGAATTAACAAACAATGACGGGTTACATGCGTAAATATACTGAGAAAAGCTTTACTAGTTTTTATCATAGAGGGATTCTTCCTCATGAGCAGCGTGCGCGGTCGTGGCGATGTCGCGCCGACTACTGTGAGAGTTCCTCTATGACTCGAAACTAGTAGAGCTTTTCTCAGTATATTTACGTTCGTAACCTGTCATTGTTTGTTAATTCAGAAGATATTTGTGATCGGAGCTAAAATATTTTTTTATACATTTACAGACAATGAAGAGTTGGAATCGAATTTGAGACAATATGGTGAGTGTTACATAGAAATAAATTAAAAGAACAGACCGCGGTGTCCATACATAACTTCACGCCTGTCTCCAATGGGGGTCGGCAGAGACTATGGAACGCCAATTACTACGATTTCTACATGTATGCAAGCGAAAGAGGTATACCTCTTTTGCTTCATCAACAGTCATCAAACTTTTCATGCAAGCTCGTCGGTTAAGGGTACTTTTAATTTGGCCCTTCTTTAATCTGTCAAACACCAAGCGGTCACCGGTGACCGCGACCTATTGTTCTTTAATTGTGTCTATAAAACCGGTACTCGACGAGTTAATATATCGCCAATTTGGTCAGTATATGTATATCCATCTAGGGCGCCCTCTACCGACGGCCCCATTCCGCTCTGTATACTTATTTCGTGCTGTGTCAGACTGCGGTTTATGTAAGACTAGCTTTTACCCGCGGCTTCGCTCGCGTCACAAAATAATAAAAAATAGCCTATGTAACATATACCAATACACACAGCGCCATCTATACCAATACTTTTGTTTTTCCTCGGGAATATCAATTTTTCCGCGTTAAAAAGTACCCTATTATTTAATCCGGACTTCTAACTTTACGTCTGCAAAAATTCAAAGCAATCGGTTGAGTAGCTACGGCGTGAAGGTGGAACAAACAAACAAACACACTTTCAGATTTATAATATTAGTAAGGATAACTACTACTAACCTCTTGTATGCTGCCGGTTTATGATACTCAATAGAATACACATTATGCCACACGTCTCCAGATCCATAGCTTAATTTTGGCGTCCTACGAAGACGTCATATGATCATATCGCAGAGGGAGACTGCAGAATGGCACATTGTGTCACGCGTAGATCTGTGGATACTTGGGTTAATTTTGGCGTCCTGTTAAGACTATGATCATATCATAGAAGGAGGCTGCAGAATGAGAAAAGGAAATCAAATCGTTCTGTCTTCTCATATTAGGAGGAGGGAAGAGGTAGACTCTTCTCCTCTACTCCTACTTCTCTCCTTTTCTATCTCTCATTTCTCCCACCGAATGGCGGCGTTGATGGTGATGACAATAATGATTTGTTTTGTTTCAGAAATGAAGCCAGATTTAGAAGGAAACGTTTACTATGAAGGAAGCATCCATGCTAGCCAGATATGTAAGACATTATATTTAATTTATAACTTGACTAATTTTATATTATACTAGCTGTTGCCCGCGACTTCGTCCGCGTAGATTAATGACTTCTGACAGAATTAATCAGAATCAATTCAGTGCCCAAGTAAGATTTACCTATTTTGAAATGATTTATCGTAGTTTCAATAAATAAATAATCCCGCAGGGATCTTACCAGTACAGTGCCCGATCACGTAAGGTTTGAGTAATAAAAACTATTCTATCGACTATTGTTGTACCGAATCTCTCTAAAATAAGTTCAGTGGTTAAGAGTTAGAGAGTCCTGGGGCATTGACGCATAGTTCTCGTTCCCGTGGGACATCTGTGATAGAAACTATCAAACGTTACCTAGGTCCCAAATCATCGTTCACCGAATGTAATTCAAAAAGATTCAATGAATCTAAATTCAATGGCTAAGACGATTTATACAAACTCTCATTCCCTATTTTATCCCCTTAGGGGTGGAATTTATCAAAATCCTTTCTAAAGAGATACCTATGTCATAGTAACTTTATGCATGCAAAGTTTCAGCCCGATCAATTTAAAACAGGCAAAGTGTCATACAAACTTTCACCCCCTATTTTACCCACTTTGGGGTGAGAATTTTCAAAAACCTTTCTAAAGCGACGTTTACGTCATAATATCCATCTGCACGCCGAATTTCAACCCGATCGGTGTAAGAATGACAAAGCTTCATACAAACGTTCATCCCCTACATTACCCCATTGGAGGTGGAAATAATCAAAATCCTTACTTGGGGATGCCTACGTCATAACATGTACCTGCATGCCGAATTTCATCTGCATCGGTGTAAAACTGACAAAGCTTCATATAAACTTTCACCCCCTTTTTTACCCCCTTAGGGTTGGAAAAGATCAAACTCCTTTCTTAGCGGATGCCTATGTGATAACATCTATCTGCATGTTAAATTTCAATCCGATCGATTTAAAACTGACAAAGTCTCATACAAACTTTCATCCCCTATTTTACCCCCTTGGGGGTGGAAATTATCAAAATCCTTTCAAAGCGGATGCTTACGTCATAACATCTATCTGTATGCCAAATTTCAACCCGATCGGTTTAAAACTGACAAAGTCTCATACAAACTATCATCCCCTATTTTACCCCCTTGGGGGTGGAAATTATCAAAATCCTTTCACAGTGGATGCTTACGTCATAACATCTATCTGTATGCCAATATTCAACCCGATCGGTTTAAAACTGACAAAGTCTCATACAAACTTTCATCCCCTATTTTACCCTCTTGGGGGTGGAAATTATCAAAATCCTTTCACAGTGGATGCTTACGTCATAACATCTATCTGTATGCCAAATTTCAACCCGATCGGTTAAAAACTGACAAAGTTTCATACAAACTTTCATCCCCTTTTTTACCCCCTTGGGGGTGGAAATTATCAAAATCCTTTCTTAGCGGATGCCTACGTCATAACATCTATCTGTATGCCAAATTTTAGCCCAATCTGTCCAGCGGTTTGGGCTGTGCGTTGATAGATCACTATGTCAGTCAGTCAGTCAGTCAATCACCCTTGAATTTTATATATATAGATTATATATATAGACTAGCGACCCGCCCCGGTGCAATATGCATGTATTATACATATAAACCTTCCTTAAAAATCACTCTATCTATTAAAAAAAACCGCATTAAAATCCGTTGCGGCGTTTTAAAGATCTAAGCATACATAGATGGCGGATAGCGACTTTGTTTTATACTATGTAGTGATACTATACTATTATATAAAGCTAAAAAGTTTTGTATGTTTGTTTGTTTGAACGCGCTAATCTCAGGAACTACTAGTCCGATTTGAAAAAATCTTTTTGTATTGCATTGTCTGTTTATCATGGAAAGCTATATGCTATAAAATATCACGCTATGATCAATAGGTGCCGAGTAAAGCGGGTGAAACTAACAAAGGAGTTAGTAAAATGGCAATTTCAAAGGAAATATTATAAAAATGTTATTGTCAATTTGTTTGTATTACTGTTTATTACACGTGTAAATATATACGTGTGGTGTATGTATTTGCTCTTTATAACAAGAAGAAATGACGTTACTATACATCACTTTCATAAAAAATTAACTTGCGTATAGCCATTTATGTTTACGTAGTTACGTACCTCAGCAATAGATGGCGTTAGTCTTCTGGCGCCATTTTTTCTTAAGGCATTTATAAAGATTAATTACGAAACCCACCCAGTTAGATCAAAGAGCGTAAATAAAAATTTTGTTACAGTGGACAGCGAAAGCCAGGGTGTAGACGATATAATGCCTGGATTGGACAGCAATTCCAGGGTAGACATTGACCCTCTGGCCTTCGACCTTCAGGCCCAGAGAAGGGCATTTGTGAGAAAGTGAGTAATTATGAACGCTCTTTGAAATAATTGGGTGCTGGGCAATGCTTTTTTTATCAAAGCAAAGTCAAATTCAAAATCAATGATTTCAATTAGACCAGGAAGGCACTTTTGAACGTCAACAACAAAAATTTAGAAGTGTAACTAGTTGCTCATTCCAAGGTGTAGATTCCTATGGAGAAGAACGCAAGCAAGAAACTCCATAGGTTACTCTTTTTCTAACGATTCGGACGGATGTTGCAAACGAAAATGACATCCGGGATATCCATTCACTGCCGGGGTTGCGGGCATGGTTGTTATATACAGAAGCTCCGGTTCAGAGCAGGACTAGGAACGGGGTGGTGTTTAGTCAGTAAGAGTCTGACACTCTCTCATGCCTCAACCAAGACGGGATTCATTTGATGACTTTCCATACTTACAAAACCGAGGGCATCGATTCCATGTTTTGTTTTGTTTTACCCTTATTATATTAATAGGACCCTTATTATATTCAAAATAAGAATAGATCAAAATTCTTTTGTTACGCCTCATTGTTGAACCCTGATCTATCGGTTAACACGTTAAACGCCATGGGGGTCACCGGTGACCGGCGTTAGCGGAGGATTTACCTTCATCAGTTTTTTATTGGCAGCCAAAGTCTTAAAAATTATAGACTTACTAACTCCAAAACAAGTCACTAATTCACAATAATTTCTATTGTTTCAGATTGAATGAAAAAATTAAACTGTCGCTGGGATAAACAATAAACCACGTATAGCTAAAAAAAACTAATCATCAGCTAATTTTAAAATCTAAATGTAACTTAAAACTACGTTTAAAAGTCGATATTGTAATAATGATAATTTTACACTTGAAGTATAAGTTAGAAGTTAAGTAAATATGGATAATTTGACATCACAGATACATTTTTATAAAATACATAGAATCTTACTTTAAGGATAAGGAAAATATGACCAAGCAAAGATAGATAAATTGAATGAGTGATCATATGAAAGAAAAGAGATTGAGATGATGGTTGATAGGGCAGAATGAAAGAGAGAGAAAGAAGATATAATGAACGAAAAAAGCATAATTAAAAGAAAAAAGAACATTTATAGACGCACAGACAAAGCACAAAACAATAGATAAAGTAACATGATGTGAGGATACAGGACACAAGAGCATTGTATAAGAGTATATATAATGAGAGAAGATGATTGAAAGAAGAACGATGAATGAAGAAGAAGTATTACAAATAAAAGAAAATATAGGACACTAAATGAATGGAAATGTAGATAGAAAGCCAGTAGTAAGAGATCGAAGAAAAGACGGTTCGTATGAGGAAGGAGTAGAAGGACTGTGATTGTGTGATGTGATGATGTCTGATAGAGGAGCATGAAAGAAGCCAATGATGACAGAAGAACGGTAGAAGAACAGAGAATATTGTGTAAATAAAAACAATGTCAGTCGCTGTCATTGAAGATTTAACTTCAATAAATTAATGAAGCCAACTAGAGCACTTGTGACTCTTCAGCTAGGCTATTCTGTAACTTTAAATTGGATATATCGAAGTTAAAACTTGATCGCAGTCTGCAATGTTATTGGATACGAAAATAATTTCAACCAATGAAATGAAATGAAATAATGAAATGATATAAATTTCTGCAAATGATCATTTTCTAGTATTTTGTCAGACCCTTTCAACAACGCACGATCTATTATAAGGATGTTGCAACAGTGATGACCTGCTGGTATTTGATACTTCTAATTAATTTTAATAATTTACTATAGATAAATTTGGGCTACGATGGGGCTAACTTAGCCTATTGGTTAAAAGTCCCTAAAATAAAATAAATAATAAAAAAATATTTGCAAATAGGTTACAAAGTAACCCTTTTACACGTCAATCTTTAAATTACTAGATGCAGGTCGTCATTTCCTAACTGACTGCTCTGAGAAGAAACGCCGACACAAACTTCGAGGTCTCTTTTAACCAGACAGATTCTATAATGTGCGAGAACCGTGAAAGTTGATTCTGCAGTGGTCTTTTGTGGAAAGATCCACAACAGTTTGAGCGGACCTGCAACTGTAACCAAATGCCATTTAGCGCTTGTCTACATGTAGAATAGAAAACCAAATTATATGGGATTGACATAAATTTTGACACTTGTCAGTGTCATCCCCATACATTTAGTTTTCTACTCTCTCTGTAGACAAGTGCTATAGTGGCGTTTGGCTAAAGGCACTGTTCTAATCAATTAATCTCAATGAATCCAATGACGGGCGGGAATGCGATAAAACTCACTCTGAAAGTTCGATTTGACAGTTACAGTTTAGCGTAGCTGATCCATAGATGGCGCTGATCACTAATTATTAAGTAATCCTGTATAATGAAAAAATTGTTCGCAATTTTACAGCTTCTTACCAAACAAAATGTAATTAGAAATAGCCTGTCAAGAAATAACAGATTAACATAAAATAGAGTAATTTTTTATTATAATAGTGAACAAAAAATGCAATTTTATATGTTACTGACTAACATCTAAAATTTTGTTTTAAATAAATAAATGTAATGCATAATAATAATAATAATGTGTCGTATTTTTATTATAACATAACACAACATCACGCCTTTTATCCCCGAAAGTGTAAGCAGAGGTGCTCATATGCCTTTGTACAATGTAACACTCACTTTTCCACTATTTATGTGATGAGTCCCACGTAATATCGAGTGAACCAAATATCATATACCGGGCACGATACCAGGCTTCGTGCTACCACTGAGAATTTTATTAAAAAAAACTCAGTAGGATACTTTGCCCGACCCGGGAATCGAACCCTAGTCCCCTTGCCCGGTAATCACACTAGCGACCACGCGGCCAACGAGGCAGTCATGGCATGGTTAACAACCTGGGAAGATAAACCGGTACACATAATGATTTTCTATAAAATTATCCATCGAAATCGACTCCTTTTTTGCCACAAAGGAAAAAAGTATTGAAAAAATGGGTATAATTAAACCACTATATGCAATTCAGAAAGTTAAGGATATAATACCATCAACAGTCAATTACAGTAAACTACTGCTATAAAATGCTGCTATGGGGATCGTAGTATGAAAGTTAAAGTCAAAGTCAAATTCAAAGCATTTATTTCAATTAAACCCTAGTTAGGTACTTTTGAAACGTCAAAAAATACAAAATAAATAATAGTGTGTCAGTCAGTCCGTCATTGAAACTAGGTGAAGCTAGGTGCTCATTCCAAAATGTAGATTCGAATGGAGAAGAACGAGCAAGAAACTCCATTCGTTAACTCCTTTTTTAAAAAAAGTATGTTCTACAATGTCTCTGATACATATTTCAATACTGCGCATATCAGCTCAGTAGCCAACTAATGAATCACGAGGCGTTCGCGAGCCACCACGCACGGGCCTGCGGACGGCGAGCACGGGTAACTCACCGCCCGACCAGCCCCAGATCGACCATACAGCGCCGAGCGTTCCACGCGCTCCTTAAAGAGCCATCAGACCACCACAGATGGGATAACAGACCTACCAATGGATACTGTACTAAATCAATATTTATTTTTTACTGTCATACTAAATAGATTTAGACTATACAAGAGCAGATCAAAAGATCTACTTTTAGTGCTCTTTGGTCGGATGGTTGCAGTTACAACTAAGTACTGAGCATGAAGATTCAATTTCTTAATTCGGGCATCTTCATCTTCATCCAAATAGTTAGGAAATAAGTTCATTAAATAAAATGCTGTTTAATTAAAGGCTATCTGTTGACTTTTTTTTGGTGTGAAAAATCATCGAATCAAACTTATTCATATTCATATTCATATCTTTATTTGCATTCCATAATGTTTCTTAAGATGTTACATTATTGGCTTAAAGCTAAGACACAATTATGGACCCCGTCGGGCACAGCAAAATACTAAAAATAAATTTCAGAATTAAATTCAATTAATAACATATTACCATTTTCAATAATTATTAAAATAAATAAGTATAAGTAATAAAATTAAGTCAAATTGATGATGCAACAAGTCAGCAATTTTTCAAACAACAAAATCTAAAATCATCATGTCACACTTCTCCCGCCTTGGGTTAGGCGAGAGGGAGTGTCAGACTCTAGTACTGACTAAAAACCACCCCGTTCCTACTCCTGCACTTCGAGCCCCGGTAACCCGTTAGGTACTCCGCGGCTCCGTATCGGTATCAGCCCTATTGGGCCCCATCCGTGGTGGTCTGATGGCTATATGATGACGTCTAAAGCCACGGGTAAAGTAAATATCCCAAGAAATGTATCGGCGATATGTCGAGCGAGGCCAGCCAATGTCGCCTGACATATGGTACGACGCGTAATTTATGTCCACAGTGACATTGATGTTTGTTGTTATTGTTATATTATTTGAATTTTTAGTTGCCATATTGTTTTATTTTTGTGTTTGCTTAACGTGTATTCTGTGTGTCTAACTTTATGTAATGTTTTGTAGTTTTACAATATTATGTATTTTGTTGCCTCGTTGGCCGAGTGGTCGCAAGTGCGACTGCGAGCAAGGGGTCTCGGGTTCGATTCCCGGATCAGGCACAGTATTACTGGATTTAAAAAAAAATCTCAGTAGTAGCACGGAGTCTGGAAATGTGCCCGGTACATGGCAATGGATGTGATGTGATGTAAATAATGAAAAGTAGGTGTTACTTCTGTGTGCACCTCTGCCTACCTCATCAAGCATAAAATGTTCATGTTATGTCATGTTATGTTCCAATATTTTGTCATTTACTTTTAATACTTTTTTTAATGTTGTATACTTTAAGTTTGTTTAATTTTCTTTTTTATATATTTAGTAATTTAATTTATTTAATGTAACTGGTGTATACCGTGTTAATCAATAAACAGTGTTGCCAAGCATGTCAAGCAACTCCGGCAACGTCGCGCTACCTCGCCTGACGTCGCTAGCGACACATGTCGCAGATATTTATCATTCATATTCATTTAATCATTTGTAAACATGGGTACATAATATATAGGTGTCAATAAAGTTTACAGTTGTCCGCCAGTGTATCCTTGACTTAATAAAGAAGAATGTACATATAAAATCTAAAACTGTTATGAAAAAAAAGAACTGAAGATATACCGGTATTTTACACCAACAAGCTTCTATTTCAGTGTGAAAAAACTAAATAAAACAAAAGATACACAAACGCAAGTCGCAAATGGATACGATACTCCATAGAAAACCTTTTATCGCTCAAAAATTCTTTCTTTTACAACAAAGTACTGGAGAAAGGATGGAAAAAGAAACTATGAATGAAATACGGCTGCGATAAGGCATTGTTTATGAAAAGTTTTCCACTTGCTTGTTCAGCAGCCGACGATTAAGACGTCCATTGTGAGTATATTAGCTAAAATTTGCTTTATTTTTTAATGGAGATGGTACCTTATAATACTACACCTACATTTGTGCTAAAAATAATAATGATGCCACCTGTTCTATCATCTTCATCATCTTCTTCAGACCGTTTTCTGCAAATGCTGTAAAATAATATCCACTGAACTCAATGTTTCTCTCTTCATATTTAACTACCGCTAGCTTCACAATGGCTACAGTCACTCTACCGCGATTCGGTGTAAAACCTAACGGGTAACCGGGGCTCCGGCTTGAAGTGCAGAAGAAGGACCGGGGTGGTTTTTAGTCAGTAAGAGTCTGACACTCCCTCCCGCCTCACCCAGGCGAGAGCAGTCATTGGATGAATTTCCCCCCTTAAAAAAACCCCGATTTCGGTACATTTTTCATTGCGGTATAAAAAACCTTTAATTTCCATCGTAATTGTTTTGTTTTCAAATTCTTCACTATTTTCTATTCTTGTTTTACTCTTACTCTTGACTTATCATCTTCATCAACAGCATTTTTCAGTCTATGACTTGACTATGAGCCTACTGTATAAAAAATTCTGTTAAATGTTAACATTGTAATGTTGACAAATGTATTCTCGGTTTTATAACAGTAATATCTTCAACAGCCTATAAATGCCCACTGCTGAGCAAAGCCTCTTCTCACACAGAGAAGGTTTAAGCATTTAAGCAGCGCTTGCTGAATGCGGGTTGGCGATTACAAACTTATAATTAGACATTATAAGCTCAGGTTTCCTCACGATGTTTTCCTTCACCGTTTGTACACTGACAAACGGTGAAGACACCACTGGGTGTCTAGATAATCTTCGAAAGTACATATAACTCGGAAAAAGGCGCATTGGTACTTGCCGTTGTCGGTAGGTTTCGAACCCGTACCCTCATGCACCAGAAGCGGGCGTCTTAAACCTCCGGACCACCACGACTATATATACGTTATACGTTATAATATACGACTATATATACGGTAGTAATATACGTTAGACGTATTCTAGAGTGGAGACCGCGTCTAGGCAAACACAGTGTAGGGCGCCCTCCAGCTAGGTGGAGTGACGACATCCATAAGGTGGCTGGCAGTGGTTGGATGCGTAGAGCTGAAGATCGAGCTCAGTGGCGTGCCATAGGAGATTCCTATGTGCAGCAATGGACGAGATCAGGCTGTTAATAATGACAACAGTAATGTTTATTGGGACATCTTTGATAATTGCTGTGACATCACTACATATTATAAAACAAAGTCGCTATCCGCCGTCTGTCTGTTCCTATGTATCTTTAAAAGTACGCAACGGATTTTGATGCGGTTTTTTTTAATAGAAGGAGTGATTCTTAAGGAAGGTTTATATGTATAATGCATGCATATTGCACCCGTGCGAAGCCGGGGCGGGTCGCTAGTAGTTAATATAAATTGACGAAGACACGAACTCAGCGTTGTAGCGCCTTTAAATAGGCGTCACGAACACTACGTTTAAAAGCCATTTTGTTTGGAACCATTTTTATACTATCGGGTAGTGCATTCCATAATTTAATTACACTAACTCTGAAAGAGTTAGAAACGAATATATTAGGTGCGATATTTCTATTTCTATCTATATTAATAATTTCGTCAAGGAGTAAGGTAGACTTGATCGAAACATTACCTGAATAACAAAACATAAAAAATATCGATTTCGAGTCGACAACATATATCCACAAAATTCGGATTATGGAGATTATTTCGTTTTATTAATACATTTTAATGACACTGACAGACAAACTGCAGTCGCCATCTTGAGTAGACAATCAACGTTCCAAATACTCTCTCTCTCTCTCTCTTTCTCTCTATCTTTCTCTTTCTCTCTCTCTCTCTCTGTCTCTATACGCCTCTAGTAGCTCTCTTATACCTACGCCTAGACAATCAACACGTAGTCGCGAAAAAAAAAGTATAAATTATAACAAGAAATATTAATAATTTCACGCGAATGAAGTCGCGGGTAACAGCTGGTATGACAATAATATGTGTGACATTCCTGTAAAATTGACATAGAATATTGTGTGCGACATTTATGACATTTCAGGTTAATTTTGTAACATTTTTCTCTTTTGTATAGTTCTCTTTTAATTTTAACTTTCTTGGAGATAGCATTATAACGAAATTTTGACAAGTTTGTAAAGTACCTACCTACATTATTTTTGCACGCCGAAGTCGAACTCAAAATAAGAGGACATGAGTTATTATAAAATGACAACTATCTGTAGGTACCTGATATTCTGACAGTTTGAGTATTTGTACGACCCACGCAAATGTTCTTTAGGTTGGTATTATTCGTCGAATCAGACAGCCTCACCTGTTAATTGAGCTGACTGTAAACCGACACATGCATACTGCCTTCAGAACGGGTCCGCTCAAACTGTTGTGGTTCTTTCCTCAAAAGGCCACTACAGAAAAACTTGCACGGTTCTCACACGTAATCTGTTATACATATTGTCTGGATTTTAAAAGAGACGCACCTCTGAATTTGTTTCGGCATTTCTTCTCAGAGTTGTCAGTTAGGAAATGTCGACCTCATCGTCCGCTTGATGAAATTGACGTGTAAAAGTGCTGCCTTGTAGCCTATTTGCAGAAATAAATTCACTTGTTTCACTTATTTGCGCAAATAAATACCTACTTTTTGAATTTGATTATTTATTTTTGTTACAGAAATATAACACATACCGCAACACCCTACATATGACACGATGCGACTACGATGCTGTGTTCTACAGAGTGTTCTGTATCACGCTGTTGGCCATCGCGTTCACATTCACAGTGATACTGACCAATGTGTTTATAGATATTGACGGATTGCTATCTAGTAAGAAAGGTATACTCTTTTCTGGAGCTTGTGACGAAGTAGCTGATAGTTATAAGGTCATATGCTGTCGTGGTATAACAATGATGCCGTTATCTGCTAGTCTTCGTTTTAAATACCACAAAAAACATATATAACACATAGCATCACGCCTTTTATCTCCGAATGAGTAGGCAGAGGTGTACATTACGGCATTACGGCACTTAATGCGACTGTACAATGTAACACCCAGTTTTCACTATTTGTGTTATGAGTACCATGTAATAGGGGGTGAGTTTATTGTCATATACTAGACACAGTTCCAGACTCCGTGCTACTACTGAGATTTTTTTAAACCCTAGTAATAATTTGACCGAAACGAGAATTGAACCCGAGATATTTTGTTCGGCAGTCGCACTTGCAACCACTCACCTAACGAAGCAGTACTTTAAACTATTTCTTAGTAACGAGTTTGTTCCAAAAACAACTGTCAAGTAGTGGGTTTAATCTATCTATCTATACATATAACAATGGAACCCGTTTCCCGTTGTCACGCCATAACTTGTGAACGACTAGACCAATTTTTTGTTGTGTATATTTTTGTCAGTAGAAGGTTCTTATGACAGAAAAAAAACCTGAAAATACTTCGGGAACGGGAGAAAACGGGATTGCGCGTACGAAGTCGCGGGCCGAAGCTGGTTGTTAATAATTTAATGGCTACTGAAACCAATAAATGAGTCTGAGTACGGCGATAAACGCCCAACACCGCAGAATGTAATTAATAAAAACAAACCGTTACTTTCTCATATTTAATTGAATATTAATTACTTCACAGACAGACACAACACTCATATCAATGATAACAATGTCATTCATGATGAGTTTGCTCCAGAAGCCACCGATATTAATGAAGAAGTTAATTATGGAGAAAACGATGAATCATACAGAACAAAACGATCCATTGGTAAGTACCTAAACTAGTTTAAAGATAAGCAACAAGGATGTAGCGAGGTTGACTGTCCAGGCGACACACGTACTTAGGTATCGTCATGAGCTAATGTTCACATGTAAACAGCAGCTCATGTAGTGTAGATGTCCAGTCAACAAGGATGTAGCGAGGTTGACTGTCCAGGCGACACACGTACTTAGGTATCGTCATGAGCTAATGTTCACATGTAAACAGCAGCTCATGTAGTGTAGATGTCCAGTCAACAAGGATGTAGTATAGACTATTCAAACGACACATGTATTAAGGTACATATAATAAGAATTATACTAAAATATGACACATTTTTTTCCAGAAACCCAAAGCTTCTTATTTCACATAAAAAATCCGAAAGTAAAAAACATACTAGCCAATAAACTATCAACTCTTCTAGAAGAATTAGATGCAGAAGAATCTACAGACACTAAGCTTAAAGAGAAGGCCGCTAAAGAAGTTCAGAAAACCACAGAAGCACCTCCAGTAACAGTAACACCAAAACCTAAAGAAGATGATAAAAAGAAGAAAGATGATGAATTACTACATTTGACGATGCATAACATTCTTCTGCAAGGAATCATTGGACATATGGATTTGAATGATGTCTACAAACGTGTTTACTCTTTGATGTCCAATTTTAATGACTTGCAGCAAAAGAAAGGTATGATTTTTAATATATGATACATTCCGAAAAGTAGGAGTCCGTGGAAACTGACTCCGTTTGGCGGACATCTGGGTTTTGGACGACGTCGTCAAACGTTCGACCATGAACACATATCTTTCAACAACTATGAATTCAATTCAATCTGAAGCCACTTATTACTCATCTAATGTCTAAGATTTCCGTGCGTTTGTTATTAATCCCTGACCATTAGATGATTCAAGTGCTCGTTTGCACTTATCATTTCAATCAATCAATCAATCATTTATTATTTGTATAAAAATTACGAGTGCCTAGAGGTTATGCTGATTGCTTACCATCAGATGTTCCAAGTACTCGCTTACTCCCTGTCTCTTAAAAATACATACATACATACAACTTCACGCCTGTCTCCCATGGGGGTAAGCAGAGACTAGTGAACCCCAATTACTACGATTCCAACATACCTCTTTAGCTTCATCAACAGCATCAATCTATTCATGCATGCTCGTCGATTAAGGGTACTTTTAATTTGATCCTTGTTTAATATATCGCCAATCTGGTTCGTCAATAAGTTCGTCTAGGGCGCCCTCTACCGACGGCCCCATTCATATCCGCTTTGTATACTTCTTTCGTTACTCTGATTCCACCCATCCTTTCTACATGTCCAAACCAGCGTAACATTCCCTTTTCAATCCTTGTCACTACATCATCCTTCAATCCACAATTTTTTTTAATAATACTATTTTTCATTTGATTACTCAATTTTAGTCCACACATACTTCTCAGGGCTCTTATTTCCACCGCATTAATCCTGCTTTCATGCTTCTTCTGCCACACCCATGATTCACTACCATACGTTGGTGTCAATACACACTGCATTACAGCGAGTCGAGCTTTGCTGGATAATATTTTACTCTTAAAAATAATGTGTAGATTATCTATTCAAGTGATCATAGCTTAATTAACATACGTACTTGCAGATGGACGAAGACAAAAGCCAAATGAAAAACCAAATATTGATTCGGAATCAAGGATTCTGCCGAAACCAATTGAAGCTAAATTTTTCGACGAAATGCTGAATTGCAATGAACTGCAGGAACAAATTGTTGAAAGTGCTACAGTAAAGGAAGAAACTAAAAAACCAGTTAAAGGTAATAATGATAATGGACAGACAAGTTGATTAAGTTAATTATCATGTTTTCGGCTTACTCACGTATCTGTTTGACATGCAGGTTCATACACAATATACTCAAAATTCTCAGTAGTAGCACGGAGTCTGAAATTGTGCCCGGTATATGGCAATAGGCTCATCCCCTATTACATGGGACTCATAACATTAATAGTGAAAAGTGGGTGTTACATTGTACAGTGGTATAATGTGCACCTCTGCCTACCCCTTTGGGAATAAAAGTCGTGATGTTATGCAAGTTGTTAAAGGCTGCAGACAGCTGCTGAATGCAGGTCGTTTCTAATTAACCGATGTGAAGTCGTTAAGGCCGTCTATGTAAGGCCGTGCATGTCTTGTCGCTGATATAAAATTAAAACATAGACAACCACAATTTACAATCATTATTTGTACTTTCAATCCAAAACTAGTCTGAGATATTGGAGACAAATCGATGAAGCCCAATCATACTTTGATAAACATCTTGTTTGGCTGTACACATAACATCATGCCTTTTGTCCTCGAAGGGGAAGGCAGAGGTGTGCATTACGGCATTTACTGCCACTGTACAATGTAACACCCAGTTTTCACTATTTATGTTAAGAGTCCCATGTAATAGGGGGTGAGTATATTGCTATATACCGAGCATATTTACAGACTCCGTGCTACTACTGAGATTAAAAAAAAACCAGTCGCACTTGCGACTACTAGGCCAATGAGGCAATTGTTTGGCTGTAGTAATTGAATAACTAATTGTCATACTATTATTATTATTTTAGCCAAACCTAACGTGATGATTAAAACAATCATAGACATATCGTCGTTAGCCAATGAGAAAGGAAAGGAAAATGATACCAAGTAAGTATTTACTAAAACAACATTTATTACGATAGTCTACAGTTGAAAGTTCTGTTGACATAATTCTGTCTGTCTCACTAATTCTGTTTGTCTTCTAAGACTGCGAACTCCATGTGAGGAGAGTATGTAGTAGTAGTAGTACCCCCTCATTACATTTCACTTTAATTATAAAAACAGTTATTTCTATAATAACTCAAATATTCTGTGTGGGAGAGCCATGCTTCGGCCGGCACGAATGGGCCGGCTCGACCGGAGTGATACCACGGCCTCACAGAAAACCGACGTGATACAACGCTTGCGTTGTGTTTCGTCGTGTGAGTGAGGTTACCAGAGGCCCAATTACCCTCCCCTTTCCCAATCTCTCTAATTCCTGAATCCCCAACGATCCTCAAACTCCTAATCCCCAAAAGGCCAGTAACGCACTTGTAACGCCTCTGGTGATCCGTCGGCTCGTTTCCCGGATTAATCCATAAAAAAAAAATTCAGGACTATACTAAAATTCTTAATTACTTCTTATTACTTTCAGATCATTAAAAGACAACGTAAAAGGCGTTATAGAACTCGTATATAATGGCAAAACAATAAAATTCACTCGACCAGACATAGAGGTATTACAACCAACGCCACTGAAACTACCAACTCAACCAATAATTCAACAACCAAAAGTATCACAACCACCAACAATAATACCAGAAACAACAACGACAAAAGTTATTAATGATTTCAATTCAGTACCGAAGTCGTATTTAAATAAATTCATCGAGGAATACTTCAAAAGGTACCCAAGAGTTAACATAAAAGACTCAAACAATGAAATGAAAGACCATTTTGAATCGAAACGAACAAAAAGAAATGTGAGGATCAAATACGATGGACATCCTAAAACAATGGCAAAAGAATCAGTTAAAAACACTGAAGACGATGATTTGTACGTCGAAATAGAAACTCATTTTGACAGTAAAGGCTTAAATGGTGAGAAGAAAAAGAAATTAATCAGGACTATAATAGAAAAGATACAGAAAGCTATACACACTGATATGAAAGGTAAACTTATAACTCCAAAAAGAGATCCATCCAAAATAAGGCGAGTACATTTCAAAAAACGACTCCAAGATCCGTTAGACCATAAAAGTAATCACGTCCTTGTAAACAAGTTCAGTTTGCCGTTGAAGAACCTTTTCCATCGTCAGCTGAACCCTATCAGTAAGACAGTGCCAATGCAAGAGAGCTCACCGTACATTGGTTCGAAGTCTGGAGAAGAATGGAAGAAACCGTGTTTTGGACCTCATTTCCTAGCTGCTAATAAAGCCATAAATTCAGCAGAAATGAGCCAAGTAGATATTGACTACAGTAAAATTTTAGATATAAATGGGATACCTCAAAGACTGCAACAGCCTTTGAATACAGAAAATAGTGAAGAAAGTCTAAACACGAATTCTTTTTATGATGTCGGCAAAATGAAGTTTTTTATCAAAGACATTGATGGCTCTGGGTTCTCAGTAGGTTTTAATCAATATGTTGATGAGCCGCCAGACCCAGATACCATGAGGCTGTTTACAGGGTTAGAAAATGTTATAAAAACGTACCATCAGACATATGATCCCTTACCTGAAGCAACACAAACTACTACCACAACAGAAGCTAATATAAAGCTAGAAATTCCTCCGATGTCAATAAGAAATACAGACCACAACATAGAAAGAAGATCTGTACACAAGAATCATGATTATCATTCCAACGAATATAAAATTATCTACGATAATAATTTCATGCCGTACCGTAATTATAGGGACATATTCGAATCCAACAAGGTCCAACCACGCTCCAAACTAGGTTTTACATCTCAAAAACTCTTAAAACTACCACTAATCGTTGACGAAACTGTCTTCGATAAAAATTTGAAACCAGCCGAAATATTTGGTCTGGCTAACTTATTTGAAAGAAAGAAAAGGTCGGTAAATGTGAAGAAAATATCGAAATTGAAAAACAAAATAAAGTTGAATAGGTATTTGAATACAAATGCTATGCCAACGAAACGGATCTATTTGAATAAGAAGAGGAATAAAAGACAGATAAATAAGATAAGGATCATAGCAACAGATTTACCACACATGTCTAAACATTCCGATGAAAATGTTTTCGTAGTGTCAGATGAGAATGTATTTGCTGACAGAGCAATTGTGAAAGATATAGAAACTTCAGAAGGCGATCACGATAAGCAAGAAGACTCTGATTATCTGCCCTACCAGAATGAAGACAGTATGCCCTCAACTTACATCACAAAAATATTCGATGGACGCTCAAGACATAACCCATTAATGTCTAAATATCCACACGTCTTTATGGAAGAAATTTCTCGATCCAGGGAAGAATTTATTCCTAACAATGCTCTACTCTTCGGCAAAATCCCTGGTCTTTCCACACTAAGACACAGTTTCGATGTAGATAAAACAGATGATAAAATTGACGGAGAAAATTTGACCGTCCTCAATACTACAGATGCACACAAGAACATGAAAGATGATGAAATCGGTGACTCTTTAATTCCACCACCTAACAGAGGTAATTATAAAGTAACAGTTAAAATCATTCCTAAAAACCAAACAGGATTGAATTCAGGATTTAAAGAAATACACACAAGTATCAATAAGAGATACAACAAAAATGGCCTGCTCTATTCATCTTTAGTTAACGTATCAGAAATATCTAAGATAATTAAACTGAACAGGACAAAAGAAGAAATAGACGCAGACATGAGGCATGTAAGCCGTGGAGGACAAAACAACGACTACTTTACAAAAAGAATAAAAGATCAACAAGATAGAATGTCTTTTCTATTAAAGCAACACGCTAAACATATAAACGAACAACTGACTAGACTTAATGAAGAGAAAATTAATCTAGAATCTTTGTTAACTAATGACAATATAACTGAGATTAGGTATTCAGATTATGATGACGCTGGAACTCCAAAACCCTATTTACCAAAGTTACTAGCAAAGAGAATTCAAGGTAACAGTGCTGAAGAGGAGGCGAAAGAAGAAGTAACAACTACAACTCGAAGGCCACGGACTACTAGACCAACAACAACTGCATTACCGACTACAACAACGTTGACAACAACACAACAGCCGATAATACAACAAACATTCTCGGACAAAATAAAGAAGAACATCATTAACACTATAGAAAGAAACGGCAACCTAACAGATCAAATACTAAGAAAAATCGACAAAAACACGGAAATATTGCAGATATTTTTGAGAAAATTGACGGAAAAAATACAAATTACTACAACTACTTCCACTACCTCGAAACCAGTGGCGAGATACGGTGAACCTTTTAATACAGAATGGACGAATCAAGCAGACCATTTTAATCAGAATATAGTCATGAAAAGGAACGATTCGCAAATATCAATTCCATTCGTGTATGCGTATCAACAACCATTAATGCCTCATAAAATCAATGCGCCGGTCGCAAGCGTAGTCTACCATGGACATATACATACAAATACAATACACCCTAAAGATTTGCCACAGGATAAAGAAAAAATTAAAATAGACTCCGATAATCAGACTAGGTTTTTTATCGATGAATTGGAAAATGATTACAAGGTCATTCAAGTTGGGGATGTCAAGAAAAATAGGGATTTCATTACTAATTTGGTTAATTCTAATAACACTATTATGACTTGAATTTTAGATGTTTTTGTGCGTCTGTATAAAGAATTAGTGCGATTTTTTTATTTATTACTCTTGTTTATTTATTGACAAATAAAATAAAATGTATTTTTTCTATTTGTATTTTCATTTATTGCTGATTTTTCTACCCAGCAGGCGTTTCCCAGTTATGTTATGATATAAATTCAATAAATAATTTATAATTCCTGATTGCCTCGTTGGCCGAGTGGTCGCAAGTGCAACTGCCGGGCAAGGGGTCTCGGGTTCGATTCCCGGGTCGGGCAAAGTATTACTGGTTTTGTAAAAACTTCGGTAGTAGCATGGAGTCTGGAAATGTATATGGCAATTGGCTCACCCTCTATTACATGTAGGGTCTTATAACATAAATAGTAAAAAGTGGGTGTTACATTGTACAGTAACATTAAGTGCCGTAATGTGCGACTCTGCCCTACCCCTTCGGGTATCCGTACGAAGTTTTCATTCACCGTTAACAGTGTTGTCTAGATAATATTAGAAAGTACGTATAACTCGGAAAAAGTGACATTGGTACTTGCCGTTGGTAGGTTTCGAGCCCGCACCCTCATGCATGAGAAGCGGGCGTTAAACCAAAATGTCCAACTTGTTAAATGACACAATTATTTATCTATTATTATGTTACATTTGCAAATTCGATATTTTATCATCAAACCATTGGGTCTTCAATAACTAGTTTTCTCTCATTGATTACCTTATTTTTATTACTACATAGCATAACATAACATCACGCCTTTTATCCCCGAAGGGGTAGGCAGTACTCATTATACCACTGTACAATGAAACTGTTCTGTACAAAAACAAATTTTTATTAGTAATAATATACTTTTAAATGTTACATACGTATCGAGCATTTCTCAGTTATAGCACTAAATCTGGATTTTTATTTGGGATAAGCCACATCACCTGATGGTAAGCAATCGGCGTTGCTCATGGACACTTGGAACATCAGAGGCCTTACAAGTGCGTTAACGGCCTTTTGGGGATTAGGAATTTGAGGATTGTGGGGGATTCAGGGATTCGGGAGATTGGGGGAAGGGGCAGGGGCCGTAATTGGGCCTCCGACAAGCGGGACACGGGAGAAAATCGCTTCGTGAGCCCTTAGCCTTAGTCAGCTCTTACGACAACTGCGGAAAGAGTAGGGGTAGCGATATAATTATGTTCTGTCGTCACCTCCCGCCATCGTTATTACCAATTTAGATTCTAACCTCAAGAAGATAAGATAATATATCAATCAACCATTATATATAAAAGATGGTTTCGATTCACTTTACTGATTGTTTGTGCCGTTACTGTGTCAACAAGATGAGAAGGTTCATAATTGTGAGTATTGTTTATTTATTTTTATATTCTTAAGTACTGGTAGGATGCCCCAGTTTCGCCCGTGTATTTCCCGGTATTACCTGATTAACTATTTAGTAATCCCGAAACCAATATATCCCAACTGTGCTCTTCTCACGTAGCTTTCTGCCGGCGGCAGAAAGGTGGCATTTCCGAACCGATACGACCTTCAAACCTTCAAGAGCGTATATGTTTTTTAAAAGGCCGGCAACGCACCTATGTCTCCTCTGGTGTTGCGGGTGTCTATGGGCGGCGCTACTCGCTTACCATCAGATGATCCGTCTGCTCGTTTGCCTCCTATTCCATATAAAAAAATATTTATATGATGTAAAAAGTATTTAAAATTAAGGGCGTAATTTAAAATAATTAAAGTATGAAAGGGCCATGCTTTGACACGAATTGGCCGGCTCGACCGGAGTGATACCACGGCTGACCAGAAAACAGACGTGAAACAACACTTGCGTTAGGTTTTGTCGTATAAGTGAGGTTACCGGAGGCTCAATTATCCTCCCCGATCTCCCCAATCCCTAACAATTCTTAAATTCCTAATCCCAAAAATCCCGATAACGCCAAACACCAGAGGTGTTACAAGTACACCTCTAGTGTTCCAGGTGCCCATGGGCGACGCCGATTGCTTACCATCAGGTGATCCGTCTGCTCCTTTACCGGCCATATTCTATAAAAAAAAACAACCAAACTGCAAATGGACATTATTAAAAAAAAAATTATCATATTTGCTACAACAACAGAATGTTTTAAGAATTGTATTTTATTTTACAGTTAAGCATATCAGTGCTCTGGCTGGGATCGTTATGCTGTTCGGGATTTAGTTTGACGAAAGTGAGTACCTATTGAAATATTTATTGACTTGTTTAATCAGTCGAGTAAAATATAGGATGAGCATTAGTCAGTAAGAGTCTGACACTTCCTCTCGCTTCCAGGTGGGAGAGGAGTTTAATAATTTTCCACCGTTAAAAAAACCCGACCCGGTTCGCGTTTACCTAGTTTCGTTTTAGCTTATACAAAAATATATTTATTTATTTATCGTTGTTCCAGGTAAAACCATCGAATTTAGTCCTTCAAGTAATAGATGATGAATTTGATAATATTGACCGAAGACCTCTAAGGATATCCAGTCCAAATTGGAGAATACCAACTTTAAGCGAAATAATTTATTACCATATAATTGAGCGACCAATCTGGAGATACGACGAAAGTGAAGAGGTATGTAATATGATAATGTGGTCGTGAGTGGTGGCGCCAGAGGTTTAAGACGCCCGTTTCTCATGCATGAGAGTGCAGTTCGAAACTTACCGGGCCACCACAACGACAAATAGAAAGAAAGAAAGAAAAAACATTTATTCAGCACCAGGCACGGTGCAGCATAAATAAAATATAAAAAAGACTATAAAGGTGTGACAGTGGAAGTAACAAAAACATTGAGTTAAAAAATTAAAACAGAAGAATTAGAAGAGAGACGCTGACAACATGCCTATACTAAAAGGGTTACCCACTCAGTGTAAGCCAGGCATACAAGTCACCCAGCACTGATTTTCAGTGGGCACCCATGCAGTGACGCACGGATGGTAGCAACGTTGTAGGGTTAGACAAAGACACAAAAAAAATTATATATAATAAGTATGTAGATACAACAATGGAATACTTATCAACAGAATAAATATAAAAAGTATCCTTACTAATATTATAAATCGGAAAGTGAGTTTGTTTGTTTGTTTGTTCCACTTTCACGCCGTAACTACTAAACCGATTGCTTTGAATTTATGCAGACGTAAAGTTAGAAGTCCGGATTAAATAATAGGGTACTTTTTAACCCGGAAAAATTTGATATTCCCGAGGAAAAACAAAAGTATTGGTATAGATGGCGCGGTATGTATTAGTATATGTCACATAGGCTACTTTTTATCCTTTTGTCACGCGAGCGAAGCCGCGGGTAAAAGCTAGTAAAAAATAAAATAAAGATCAAATCAGGATCCATCATCAAGGAATTAAACCTTTATGTTACCAATACGAAAACAAAATACAGAACGTGTGGTTAGTGCATATGTAGGTGATTTTCTATAGACGAAGTCCACTAAAAATTCGCATACGACCCACCGATGGGTTTTGGCCATCCTGAACCCTGCCATAGACTAAATTAATATTTTGTTTTTAATACAGGTGACTTCTGACGAAGAAATCTTGGTCCCCAATGATGGACGAACATTTACCAATGGACAAGGGTTTCAGTTTTTAGCTGAAGATGATGATACAGTAAGTGTATAATCATAATTTATTTTATTTCTTTTAGGCCTCACAACTTTTGTATCAAGTCAGGACTCTAGATAGTCACTATTATACACCAAGCTTCCTTGTGCGTACTGCTAAGGAGTGGATTTCTTTGCCAGTGTCTGTATTTCCTGAAGGGTATAACCTGGATGTCGTCAAGGTCCGAGTGAATAGGTTGTTAATGGGACGACGTGCTCCATCGTAGACCGCATCATCGCTTACCACCAGGCGAGATAGTGGTCAAACGTCTGCCAATCAAATATAAATAATAAAAATAAATGTAAAACGTAATTAATATGAATTATTTGCCAGTTTATTATTGCTTAGCCATAGAAGCATTCGGTCTGACTGTGCTCGTTAGATATAATGCGTCCATATCTACCGCTTCGACAGAATACAAAATAAAATTTTAAGTGTGGGAGAGCCATGCTTCGGCACGAATGCCCGTCTCGACCGGAGTAATACCACGGCCTCACAGAAAACAGACGTGAAACTAAAACAACGCTTGCGTTGTGTTTCGTCGTGTGAGTGAGGTTACCAGAGGCCCAATTACCCTCCCCTTCTCTAATCTCCCCAATTCCTGAATCCACAACGACCCTCAAACTCCTAATCCCCAAAAGGCCAGTAAAGCACTTGTAACGCCTCTGGTGTTCCAGGTATCCATGAGCGACGGCGATTGCTTACCATCAGGTGATCCGTCAGCTCGTTTACCGGCTTATGCCATAAAAGAAATACACAGAATATTATATTTTTATAATAACTATCGTGAATTACCTAAATAGATGGGTTACTCACGTACGTATACTGAGAAAAGCTCTGTTAGTTTCAAGTCACAGACTATTCCTCATGAGGAGCGTGCGCGGTCGCAGGGACAACGCGAAACCTATTAAATTCCTCGTGGGAAAGGATCCCTCTGTGACTCGAAACTATATAGAGCTTTTCCTCATTATATTTACGTGAGTAACTCGTCATATACCCGGTATATGGCAATAGGCTCACCCTCTATTACATGGGACTCATAACATAAATAGTGAAAAGTGGGTGTTACTTCTGTGTGCACCTCTGCCTACCCCTTCGGGGATAATAGGCGTGATGTTATGTTATGTTAACTAGTCATTTTTAGTTAAAAAAAAAATCTTATACTTAAACCATTCATTTTATGTAATTATAAATGTAACTACTGTTGTTATTTTTTTTTAAGAAACGGGGTAGTACATAACATATGAGAGTATAGAATCTAAGCTCAAAATAATTGTGTCCTTTAGATTATTTAATGTTATAAAATTCTACTTCTTTTCAGTCCGAACAATCTGAAAATGAAAAAACCGAACCTGATGACAAAATAAAAACCCCAG